CCAGTTTAGCCGGAATTCCATTTTTTTCCCTTCAAATTTGTGGTCTTCGAGTTCACTGTAAAAATGGAATAAAATTTGGGGGTAAGTTGTAAGGGGGGGTAAATATTGGTTGACAACACGGCGCTCAAAATTTCCCTAATTCCCAGTGAAATTTGTACATTGAAACAATTCAATTCACACGTCGCCGGACAGTATTAGCAATACCCTTCGAAATGTACAATGTACATGTATGTAGGAAACGAGAAAAAAATTTTTTCCCACGGACCTAAATTCTCTTTACGAAGCCAAAGGAGGGAACCAGTGACAAGTGCAGTCACTTATGCTTTCCCATAAAGCCACTTTGCGATAGCGCGAATGCCAGGTGTCACATGAAAATCCGACTCCAGTAAAAATCAGACTCTTACCTGCTATTGGTTAATTCCTCTCACGTGATTGATCATTCTCCTAATTATCATAGGTATGCATGAGCATTACTCCCAATGGGGTCCTTGTTTGATAGACGTAAATTCATGGCAGTGCTTCTGCGTGGCCAGCCATGTGCGAACTGGCTTTGGAAATTAGTACAAGTACATGTATGTGTGTAATCAAAATCATGGCGGAGGGAAAGAAGTTCATTGAGCATGGAGCTGCCGATCCAAAAGAGATTGACAAATCAGTAAAAAAACAAGTGAAATTGGTCATGGTGCGACAAATTGTTACTGGCTAAAACGGAAGATGAGTACGTGGTGGGCGACTGCTTTTGCAAGCTTTACAGTCCTTGAGAACCATGGTGTGAGTAGTGTTGTATTCGTATCAAAACCAAAAAAGCCCTGTTCTCTTTTCTGTCTGATATGAAAGAGGACATAACCAACAACTATTGAGAAGATTTTGCTTCAATAAATTAGAGGAAAAGGGGCCACAAATTGCCTCAGATTGCACCACAGCCTATCTAGAATCCAAACATATCCGGGGCCCTTAAGCAGGCCCCAGACCCCACGCCATAAGGGCTTCGTGCTCCGCACTCCCAGTAGTCTCCCCATGATAAATTTCATTGCAAATTATTTTCAGGCTTTTTCTTCATGCCCATTCGTATGCCTGGAGTCCAATTTTCACAGAGAACCTAACACAGAGCTGAGGATAGTCTGATGCCCTGAGGTCTACAGATATCTGGCAATATACTCTGTGCTGCAGCCCAGCCAAATGTGTACAGGGCGATTGCGGTAATTTGCTAGCGCTGTGTGGTGTGTACGACGCGGCATATGTACCGGTACTTTCATACCTTGGTCTTAGATTCTGTCATCTCTGTAATTCAATGCAGCACAGCTGATCATAAAAATTGCTTAAACATTGTCATCTTCAAAGAGTTCAAGAAAGCAGCCTTTCAAAAAAAAATACAGAGATGGACATGTATTTCACCACCCAGAAGCGATGACATAACGCAAGATGTACACTTTACTTGTCTGAGCTTTCCATTAAGTATATAAAAGTTATAGATATTGTTGTTATATCTCCATAAACATTCAATATGCTTAGTAAAACAGTAAAATAAGGCACTATGGAGTTCACAATTTCAGAAATATCCAAGCCAAGGGTGGCAAAAATAGTTTCCAAGTAGATGCCTCTTAATGCTCTTGTCAGATATTTTGTCAGGCGGCGGCAAAACATACTACCATGTATTCATCTTTTAAAGTTATTAACTGATTAGATAAGTCAAAAATACACCAAAGTTGTCTTTGAATGTTCAACTATGTCCTAAAAAATAATGAAACAATAATATTTGTGAATATTTGGTTATAAATGTAAACGGCAGTTAGGACTTGTGGATTCAAAATGACGGCCCCAATCACAGGTATTCAAAGGATTACTCTGAAAATAAAACTGACTTGTTTTATCTCAGAAGGCAAGAAAGAAGATTATAAACCTGATTGAAATGTCTACATACATTTCTTTTCTCTTTAAATGCGATAAAGAAAATTAGTCCATCAAACCAAAACTTGTGAACAACTTGTGTCACGTGGTCACAAGTTTTCCTGAGAAAAATCAAGAATAATCCATAACACACGTGGAACAAAGATGGTAAGTGTTTTTGCACGGGGGCCACTTGCAGTTGCACATCCCTATTTAAATAGTCTGTGGTTAAAGGTTGGTAAATCTGTGTCTTCCATTGAAACCTGTTTAGATAAATGGTTTTGATATTCACTCCCGACAAATTTGGAAATTCTTGAAGTTTAAGCAGGCTTAGGCGGTAAAAGAAGGGATAAAAAGGTGCTCTCACAACCAGACCTGTTGAAAATATGTATTCCAACCCCCCTACCCAGATTCCCTCCATAAGACATAAAAACCCCAGGTGAGACATCAGTGTCCCATCCCTCATTTTGGAATCAGTCTTCTGTCAGTACCGCGCATGTAGATCATATCTATGAAAGAAGCAGCTTTGATTTAACAACTTCAGATAAGATTTCCTGAAAGAAAAAGACATTAATTGGGAATTTCAATACTGTACTTATACTACATAGCACAGAATTGATGAAATGACTGTACATCGTCCATAGTGCAATCCACCTTCTTTGTGTCTGTTGTAACTTGATCATATGTTGCCGGATGCCGAACTTCTTGAGTGTTAAACACTGGCATAGAATTTAAGTGGAGCTTTACAATTTACAAACAGGCCTCAGGAAAGCGTGGGAATGGCATTGTACTATTACTGAATGATTCCACTTAGGCGTGGTATTAAGGGTAACGTAATGTTGATCACTTCTTAAACCCTGCAGATATGAAGAATTAATACCTCAGATTTGATTTGTGAAATTGTTGTTGGAACAGTATCTGTCTGCCAGTGTAACAGAATCGCCTCTTGAGCTGTCCTGATGAGCTTTATAGGTTGGCCAGACTTGTCAAATCAGCTGATAACTACCGAGCAGGGTTGAAATCATTGACTGCTTTAAAGGGGGATCTGGTTTCAAATGTTGAAGTTTGCTGAATGTTTACTAGCAAGATGCCAGGTGAATTAACACTTTGATGACTTCGGTTCAGGATGTAAGATTTGACATATTACTTCCCAGATACTTCAGCCTTCCTAAAATACTTCACAGAACTGTGCAGTCTACCAGTTTCCCACACTAAAACCATGGAGCTATTTAACCACTTTATGCCGGGGCATTTTTCAATGTTGATGATGCTGGTCCAGCATGACTATCATTTTTCCGTTTTCAAAATCCTTCAAAAATTCATCATTTCATTTAACGGTCGTTTATAGAGGCATGAGATAATCTTTAGGCACTACTCTAAGTTGACAGGTGACCTTCATTGATGCTCGAGTATTTCAGCCAGGCCTGCAGCCTTGTAAACAGAGCCCAGATTGTGCGGTGGTATATAACTGTCTTTTGTTCACGAACCTGGCTCAGTGCACTGCTGACCTCTTTTCAATAGGAGCCAGATTAGCATGCAGCGGTGCTGTGTGCCTCATCGCTGTGGTGGTGGAGCGCTTTTGTCCCCAGTGGTAATCCGCTCACTCTCAATGCCCCAAACCCTGGTATACGGTTTCAAAACAAGGCTGGATTATCACCACTTTTGAGAGTGAAAAATGCCGGTAATGCCCAGCAGCCTGGTCTTTTGTTCGCAGTACGGTCTTTTGTTACAGGGCCCTGTTTCCTTTGTCCGAGTTCGGAGACCCAGGCCATGCATATAAACCATACGTCTCCGATTCCGGATTCCCCGACAGGAAGTGGTTAACACACCTGCTCATACCCGTAGAAGTGTGCTTAAAGGGCATGGGGATGGGCTCATTTCTTCCAGATTTAGTATTTTTTTCTTTGAGGTCTAGATTGACTCTGGTCGACGGTATTACAAGACAACACTTTGATCATACACTTGTCACGTGCACATTGCATATATATGCTCTGAATGAAGGGTCCAAGTGATTTATTTAGCAGCACTTTTTTCTATTGCTCTTTATTTATTTACTTTCAATTCTATTTATCTTCAACAATTTGACACCCTTTTTGTTGATTGTGTTGAAAATTACACTTTAAACATGCAAATTGTCCAAGCTTTTCTGAGCAACTGATGTCACCGTTGCTCTGATGCCATTCAGGGAAGACGTTCAGTTTTATATGTTTTCTGTTTGAATCATGCATCCAAAATTTGCTCATTGAAGCATTCCTGACAAAGGTTTGCTGAGTGGCTTGTTGTCATATACTGGTACAACAATGAATCTCCACGGGAAGGGAATTATAAAGCAACAAAATATCAAAATTTCCCACAGAAGTTTACACACAGATCAATGCATTTAGGTTTTCCCCTGGAGTGGCACCACAGTTGTACTTATGAATATGAAAATTTGGAGTACACTACAAAAAAAAGGGCACCAAAATAATTTTGTAATTTAAAATAGCAAACAAAACAATGAAAAATGTAGTCAAGTGAAACACAAAAATGCATCTTCAAGGATTGTCCAAACTTCTTACACTATTTTGTTAAAAGGATTAGCCATACCAGTGGGTTGTAAGGCAGGGCAATGCGGTTGAGACTGACGAATGAAACAGCTTTATTGAGTAAGAGCCAGTGACTGGTGCCCACTTTAATAGAGATGCTCGGTGGAAAAGTTGGCACTATAAATGGTGATTGGCCTGATAATATGTAGTAGTAACTCCATGTGCTTATCAACTTACTGTGCCTAACAGTACCCTGTTATGTGGGATAGTAAGTAAGGATAATGTTGTCTTCAGCTAGGATTTTGCGCTATACATTTCAAATTTCTTAACATTATAGCATTTTAGTGTATAGCAGGATTTTAAAAGGTATTTAGAATTAACCTTATCTTCATTAAACCTTCTGTCGGTAGTTCATTAAGGCAATAGTCAGACTGCCAGTAACCCCAAAAGACTTTCCTTCAAGAAAATGGTACCGGACTTGAAGACTGCCCATATCCAAGACTAGTAGTCCTTTTTTCACTTCCGAAGAAGTTCAGCCTGAGATAATCATTTTTATTTCTGTTCTCTTTTGTTCTCTCTCCATCACAGGTGCCTTGTCTGGTGTGAACAGCATAATGCATGCTGTGACTGGTGCTCGGCGATTCACACCTGAGCACTCCTCTCATATGAAACGCAAAGCACGCCACTATACAGTGAATACCGGGTCTGCGTTGTCCCCAGGCAGTCAGGAAACCAGTTTCTCCCAGTCTGCACCAGATATGACAGGGAGTGGGAACCAGCCAGATGTAACAATTGAGGATGTGAGCAGTTTTATCCTTCCTAGTGCAGACATAGAGCGACGGCTTGATGACCTCCAGCATCAAATGACCAGATTGGAATGCAAAGTCACCTCTGATATGGCAACCATCTTGGAGTTGCTTAGGAAGAACTACTCCCAGGCTTTGTCAGGACCCACACCATTGCTGGCCAACCGACCTCGCCAGGCTCGACCCACTTTACCCAGGATGTGGTCTGGTCCCAGACCCCAGAGTCCCACTGCGACTGAGCCTGCAAACTCTAACAGAGTGGACTCCTCAGCACCATCTGATGGAATGAGAGCAGAATCCGAAAACACAAACAGCAGTGTGGAAGGATCGCAACGTGGAAGCTTTCCCAAGGACTTGGCAGCAGCCTCTTCTGACACATCTAACACCCAAGTTGACGGACCATTCAGACGGAGACACCCTGAGACTTTGCTGTTGTCATCCATGTCTGACATCTCAATCGACAGTCAGACCAGTCTGCACATAGATGATTTGGAAACTCCTCCATTTTTGCAAAAAGGCTCTTCCATGTCCAGGACTTCCACTAGTCCCTCACCTCTCTCGTCACCATGGCAGAGTGCTGGTACGCAGACAACTGAATTCCCTACTGTTAGAACATCACCAGACACGGAGACATCACCCTCATCATCAGTGCGCAACACTGATGTCTAAGTTACAAAGATTAATTTGAAGCTCACTTGATCACATTGTCTCACTTATTAGCACAGTACTTGTATATGTATTACAATGATGATATTTCCATTCTGTACAGAGAAAAGAAGCCATTCGTATTTAGCAGTAGTGTACATATTAATGCTAGGAAAGACATCCGTACGTCAGACCAAGTACACTTTTTAAAATGTAAAATCTTTTACCTGTTTTTAAGTTTTGAAAATTTCCTTTGGCCTCTAGGGACAATGTACAGGACACTTTCATAGCTCAATACAAGAAGGAAGAGAACTAGGAAAGGTCAGTTTGGAATGTATGTCACACGGTGAAAAATGTCACATGCTAGTGCATCACTGCACCTGCATTGACACAGGAATGTGCATCTCTTTTTTACCATATTAGGAGAATTTGAGAAAAGACAGACACGGTATTTGCATGTTAACATGTGTGATTGTGATGATGGGTCATTGTTTGGTAACCCTGTCTCTTGGGTGGATGTATTCCTCTATTCAGACTTTCACCTAGTCTGTCACTGCTCTGTGTCTGCTCTGCATCTACAACTATCATTTTCTTAGGGACATCCAATGGACACATGGACTACAGACCAATTATTACACATCAGTGAATTAGGGAGAAGAAAATTGATGCAGCATCTGAAGTGGGTATGTGACAGATGTCAACTGCTTGGTGGTGGTATCTTTTCACAGCAACCTGTACCCATTATTCACTTGCCTAAAATCTCAATTTTTGAGAACAAGAAGATACTGGTGTCCTTTTTATAACTGAGCTGTACACGGCTAATCCTGGCTGTTGATAAAATTATTTGTACACAATTTGTACTACATTTCTTACCACAGTTTCTGGTTTCCAGCGCTCCACCATAGAAACATATGGGCTTTGGCGCGGGCCATGTACAGCTGTTGAGTTCAAGTGCAACACACAGTCACATCCACTGATTTTGTGTATTGACAAAAGAAATCAAGTAAAATGTGACTGTTTAACCTGTCATCAATATGAATATACATAACCTAAAACATGCTAACACACTGTGTGCAACTGTCAGAGAACTTCATTGTGGGTTTACACATTCATCCACACGAGGTAGTCAACACAAGGATGACTATGTAGGACCCATGTTCTTTTTTAATGACTGTCGGTACCAAATGAGTGTACTTAATCGGCTAATCTTTGGTGGTTAAGCATTAAAGCTTTGACATACTATTGAAATATTTGTGTCCAAATGGCGATCTACAGAGGGAGCTTGTGCAGTATAAACTCGTCTAGCTGTGTATAGGTGCAGTGCAACACTATTGGTTTTAATGTCAAAGACGGTTTACATTTGTGGCAAGTTACTTAAAACAGGTAATTCAATGAAAGAGTTGTGTTGTTTTTATCAAAATTTTATGAGGTCTTTGGCACATGACGTGTAATTTTATTTAGTAAATTTTTAAGTTTGTGTGGTTTCTCTGAACGAAGACGAAGATCTTTGTAGAAAAGAAAAGATTGATGTTTTTATACAGTAAATTTCTGATTTGTTTGATGAACTTTTTAACCTTGCTTGTATAATGATACTATAGTTGGCAACTTGAGTTTGTCTCTTCCCACCTTTAAATCATAAAATCAAGAATAGGATTCATTACATTACAGTAATACAGTCACTTGTCTGAAGTAAGTCCATCAATATTGAGTGAATAAGTAGCTTTGCACTAAGCTTAGCTGCTTCATAAGACTGAAGACACTCTTATACTTCCCTGGCAGAAAAAAAAAGTATTTCTGAGAGTAGACCGCATTAGAGCAGTGCTTTGGTCCAGTCCTACAGTATAGCTATCCACTTAGATGCTATCCAAATAGTTGCCAGCCATCTTTATTGGCACAAGCTTAAGGATGTGGCTAGTCCTTTATTTATTTGGCTTAATAGCTCCCATCTACAAACTCATTTCAGTGTTCTCAAATGAGGCGACCATGATCAACTCACACATTGTCCCAGTGCTGCCCACCTGAGTTGAAGTTTTTTGGAGTGACATTTATACTTGATGAACTGCAACTATTCAAACATCTGGACCACCCATTGCATTCATTCAAGTCAAATATGGGGTTAGTTTGATCACTAAATTTTGCATTGACATCCCTAAAGTTAAAGCAGTGAGGCAGGCTTGAAATCGGAATGGATGGATGGCAGTAAAGGCCAATAGTTATATTTACCGGATCTGTGTTCTCAGACCTTTTCATCAAACTGTATCTTGCAAGCAGCTTGCCTCCCGCACTAGCCTGATTGTTGTAGTAATTTAGAATGCTGCGTATTTTTGTTCATCAGAGATTTCTTCATTGTATATTACCACATTTGTATGCACATTAGAGGCCTTGAAAACACTACTACTCTTACAGAAGAAAATTCTGCATCATTTTGATACACTGGTGATAAAAAATATATATTTATCTATGGTGTATACAGTGTAAAGCTAAAGGCAGCTCTTCGATTCATTTACAGTAGTGATGCTGCTTTACTGTTTTGCACTTTTTTCTCCAGTAATGTATTTGCTCCTATTGCAAAAATGTTGTTAAGATAGAGTGCTGAGTAAAAGAGCAGATGACTTTCAAGCAATTTGTGCATATTCCTCTTTTATGTTATCGCTATTCAATAAAGTCTGTATTCACGAGAGCCACTGGTATTCCATGACTAATTGTGTGAAATCAAATGTAAACAATTCGTAGATTCGGTATCACATGTATTCTCATCCCTGAAAATCACTTAAAAGCAATAAAACAGGTTGTGGACTACATCAAGTGTACAGGAAGCTGTCTCGGGTGTGGCCATTTATCTTTTGTTGTGCTCTCATAAGAAACAGAATTCGGCAAATAGAAACATCTAGCTCAGTTAGAGCGCCATTATATGGAACTCTCGTCAGAGAGGAGAGAATATCTAATGATGGATTGGTTGATTGTTCCATCATTTAGTCGGTATAGTCTACAGTAATGCATGGATTTAGCCTCTTTCCTTGCTTGATGTTTTCCGCCAATCAGTAAACAGTCAGTTGATTGCTACATTCAGGCAAAAGTTTGGTTTGTATAGTCCGTTCAGTCACGTTTTCTGTGGAGTTTACTTTCCATCAGTCTTTGACCCGTTAATCAGAGTTAATCCTCATCCATTAAAGATTGGTACATCAATCATTTGGTTTCATGAATGCTTTTATGTTTCTTACTGTTATTTCGTCAGTTCTATTGGTTTTACGCCAGGTAAGGAAAGGGTGGTGGAAGAATTACATTTGTATGTTTGCTGCATGTTTTGCCAACAGTCTCCCAAGAAATGATTACAACACAAAGCCACTGACAGAATAATTGTTTGGAGGAATCGGCGTGGTTACCAAGGTTGTTTGTACTGGAATAAATTTTATCTTCTAAACGTTCTTTGGATATTCTTAAAATATTCATATATTCTAATAAATGAATCCAAGTAAGTGTAAGAAATTACCGAACATGTACCAGGATGCGAGCGAATATGTATATGATGTATTCTCACCTTTTCGTTTGCACCATCTGTAAGGATCACGGACGATTACACTTCACTATCAATGAAGGTCAATTCATTTAAATGATAATTTAAAGATACGCATTTCCCCCGAAGGAATTTTTGGTGAAAGATTTCTAAGTAAGACCACATTGAATAATGTACAGGCGTTTAAGGTGCACAAGATGGCAAGGTAAGACACCAATCGACTGTTAAACTTTCATTTATTTTTATCTCGCTTGAAATCTGCGAATGATGTATGTCTTGCCTCGTCTTGGTTGAATTTGAGCTCCGTTTTACACCCTTGGGGCTTAAGTTGGTTGTGTAGACATGGTGACTGCTTTCAGCCTGAAACAGAATATATAAGATGTACTGAAATGTCATTAGACTACAATTTTGCATGTTTTAGCTCGGCAGAATCAGTGCACAAAGTGGATGTTTGTGGATAACAGTTTTAGAACAAGTTTATATAGTAATGGGACAAGTATTGCTTGATCAGCTTCGGCCTTAAAGTCAGACTCAACCTTGTATTCGTGCTACCTTTGTCACCTTTTCCCCTTGATTCTTATGATGAAGTGCGTTTTCAATATGTGGTTGTAAATGTAAGTTCTTTTACTTTATCACCTGCGGTAGACTGGGTCTCCCGAAATACAGTGTTTTACCTGAAATTCATGTGTCTACCTATATTTCTCAGCCTCGCGTGCGATTTGACTGCAAGAGATTGTTCGTCGCATTTTATCTAACAAAGATACTGTCAGTTACAATATCAATACCAGAGTGTTCTTCAGAAGTTCACTTCCATCATCCATGTCGTTTTCCCGTCTACCGTATTATATCTGTGTTCTATTTCACTTATCGTTGACTTACTCAACACTAAGACCAAGACAAAAACGTTCGGCCGACATATTTGGCGCTATTCAAATTGGATTACCGTAACAGAGACCGAGTGGGAATTATTTGCTGCTGTAAAATGTGGCCCATCGCTTTTTTAAAACTTTTTTTTCTGCACATCTTGTCATGCAGATTGACATCGATTAAAGCTGGGTAGCTAAGCTTATCCATTATTAAATTTTATTTTCCAGGTAACAGCGCCAATAATCCCTAAATCTACAGCATTTATTTTAAAGGTTTATAAGTGAGTGAACATACAACAGTAGCATCCATAATTGCAAGGGCAGTCTTACCTCTGTACATTTCATGAAGATCAAAAGAAGGATAGGCCTATATAATAAATTACGCCCAAGAAAAACCTAGATAAACAAAGGAGAATATTTTGTACAGTATGATTAAAACCAATTCACATACACAACATCGAAATGGTGTGTCTTTCTTAAACTAAAGGTGTATTTCACTGGTAAATTTGCTTTTATCTCACTTAAGGACGATTATACGGTTATTAAATTCTAAAGGTGAAAGTATTCACTCATACTTTACAAACGGTATTTGAGGTCCAGTCATACCCCGTTTGTGTAGCTTTTCATCAAACGTAAGCAGTATGTGAATTGTACAGTATGTATATAAATGTTGATTTCTTGCAGACGAACTTGTACTGTAATGACTGTAGAATTTAAAGCATTAAAATACCAATTAAAATCAGTTTTTTTACACATGCATCGTACTGTCTGAATGTCTGCGGCTAATTTTGACTTCCTCGATCTAGCAGCATTCCAGAATGGCCGCTCACAGGGGCCAGCTCACCAGTCTACCCCTCTCCCTTGGCACGCAGGGATCAAATTCTTTTACTGGACCACGGTATAGCCTGTATCTGGAATAGGTTACAAGACTGGCCAGTGACTATACAGTATTAGGAAACACAAGTTTAACATGTACGCGTGAGCACAGGCGTCGCTGGAGGGGTGTGTCAACCCCCCCCCGGTTAGTTTTGTGGGGGAAAATCATGGTCTGGTAGCAAAATTAAAAACAGAATGAAGAACGGAGAATGGGGATGAAAGGAAGGGGGATACAGCAAACTCGTTTTGCGTGACGGTCCGTGGGCAAATTTCATGTGGCACCCGCCCCCCCCTTCAGAATGGTCTAGCGACGCCCGTGCTCGCAAGTTACCGTGTACATGTACCTTTATCTCAAAAATGATTCTTTAACGAACATTTTGGAATAATTCATGGGAAAAAATATGTACGAACAAACTAGACTGGAGGGATTTTACTGGTAAGACTGTTGAAATCACAGATCTCGGTCCACTGGTCCAGAGGGTATTTCGAATCTGGCTTACCATCTAAATACACTTGCACTAAAAGGCATCGGTGCGTGTAATACCAGCACATCCTCGATTAATTTTCCTCCTTTATATAGCATTAAACATCTCCGTTTTTACACATATGATCTCAGTGATTCATCTTCGGTAAAAAGAAAAAGCTAAACGACCTTGACAAACAGCAAATCTTCAAACGAAGTCTATTCTGCGCGATACACATTTTGCTAATTTCTTAGGTTACTTTTCCTTTTAGAGTCTAAAGATTACGTGGGTTGCCCATTCACTCGACGTTGTAAGAATTATCTGAGGCGCATAGGCGCTTCAATGTAAGTTGTCTCCTCTAGTCATCACACGCTCATAACAACTTGAATGAACTAAAAAAGGGGGAGAAAAAACACAGTTATGAGACTTCTTAAGTGGCACCTGGAAAACTTTTGGCAGAAGATAATGTATTGCAAACTTTGCCAAGAATAGAGCATGTTGCAAATTGAACCCACTGGAAACCAATCCCGATTGAAATTATTTGTATTTCTTGAATGGTGCATCAGGTATCACTGAAATTGTACCGTCACGTGAGAACATTTCACCTATGAGGTCGCCAGCCAACAAGAGTTTCTTATCCAAATTTTGACTTAAGCTCTAAAAATAATTTTCACATCATCCTTGGAAGTTTTAAAAATGGAACACTTACATCATCATATTGAAAGTTGGCATGTCCATTTCGAGAAGTGTCCCGCATCTTAAAATGATCTGGTGGAGAAATATTGGGCCGTATGAACTACAGACTATGAAGTAATCTATGTATTTTGTGTTTGATTTGATATCATCACCTTTTTACTTCAAATCGTGTCCTATTCCCTAGCACCTACTTATCCCGCAGTATACTCACAGCCATTGAAGTGGGGGTAGTATTAAGCCTTTATGATCAGAATTGTATGCATGGTTGAAGTGTTCCATTTATTGTTACCTGGGTTATTCAATGTCTATTTGCTGGACATTGGCCTCATTCGCTCTAGTTTGCAGATATTCCCCACGGGAGTATACAGCGGGTTAGAAACAAAGATGTCTGGAAAGGGGCAGGAGACTTTACAGAGTTCTAGAAATGCCATCTGACTGTAAACATCTCGTTATAACATCATCATCATCCCGTGACAAACTCTTTTCAGGTATCATCATCCCCTGACGAGATGTCTTCATCCTGGGATAAAATTAAAGGATTTCAACAAGTCGGATGTCACTTTCAAAGCTCCGTAGGTAATACCGCTCGTCTGTACGTGCTCTTACCTGTCACTGTCCGCAGTCGAATACTGCACAGGATGTAGTCATCCAGACTGATTCTGCCATTCACAGCGAAACGACGAATAATCGCCCCGAGTGCGTTGGGGGACAGATTATATCCTAGCCAGAAACGCCCAAGAAAAATCTTAAATATTTCTTTTTATTCGAATAACCTTTTCTGTTTATTCAAAGATACAGGATCAGGGTTTCTACCTGTGTTAAGGCTCACCAATGAACATCGGGGAACAGCCGTCGCATGTTCTTATATGCATTAACTTTAGAAGCAGCTTTTCCATTATGTCTTGCCTATGTTTTGTTACCAGTTCGGTGGAATTTGGTGAAGGTGCCGAACAAATCTGAGGTTTTCACGGGTCATTTTTATTACAAGGACAAATTACGGACAACGTTGTTCAATCAGGGACGTAAATCCCGGGGATGGGGGTATAATATTTCCCACTTTTTGACCGAGAAATGGGCTGTAGGATCATCCCCCACATTTTCTTCGAGGTGAGAAAAAGACCACAGTTTTGAAGTATATTTTACTAACTTCCCAAGAACCATCCTGTATTCAATGGTATATACTGGAAAAGGGAAAAACAAAACAAACATATAAACATACCGTTTTGATGTAAGGTTAAGAGATATAAGTATACACGGGTTCCATCTTAACAGAGCTTTTTATAAAGAGAGTTGTGACACGAGTGTTTCAATTGTTGGAACCAAAATTGTGGATTATATGCCAGTGCACATGTACAATTATAACAGTACACATAAAGCACAGCCATTTTGGTTTCAAAGTTCGAAGTTGGTGCTTCTCTCTGCGTTTTTAATTTGAGCATCGCCCTCTTACGCCAGCCCCCATCCCCGCTCTTTTTGGATTTTATCGGACAGGCAAATATTTGATTTAAAGTAATTCCCGACCCCCAGTCCCCGGCACTGATCCTAGCCAATAAAAACACTTATCTAGTAAAGGACTCCCAATGGACGAAAACGTTACAGAATTTGCAGAATTGATAGTTTAAAACATTGACGTTTTAATATCATTCCCATCAGTTTAAAATACCAAACCCATCACAAGATTCAAAATTATATTCACATGGGAAGAACTTGGGAAAACAGCCAAAAAAAATTACTACGTTTTAGACCAGAATCTAAACCTTTTGCTCCCAAACAACAAAAACTTGGACGGAAACCGAATGATTTTCAACAGTGACCTTTTAGATGATCACCACATTTACTCACCAAAGTTTAGAAGGGCATGATGTAACTCATGTGGTTCCAATGTGCCGCTGCGATCTCTATCAGTTGTTAGAAACGAAGCCTTCCATTGATTGAGGACATTCCATAGTTCCTTGAACTCATTGAATCCCATCATGCCTGACCGATCATGCTGTCCATCATTCATTCATTAAGTCAGCTAATCATTGTTCTCGACAGTTTAATATTTCAAAATATCTACAGCCAACAGTACATGTTTGGAGTCTCCTTTTAACCAAACAGATATTTTGAAAATCTGAATGTAACATGAGTACAAGTGAGTAAAGTGCTGTAAAACCTTAAATGTAAGGTCCTAATGGTTCGCATATCCTTGCTGAAACACTGTCAAAGAAATTAGCAGTCATCAGAACAAACGCACAGAGCGGCGGGTTGTAGCCAATACGGGCGTTTCACAAAAGTGTGCCTCTAAGAGTTTGAAACGCGTTGGCCAATCATAATGCGCAAAATCTGTCGACCCAATGCATGTTTGGAAATGGTCGACAAATTTCGCGCGTTGTGATTGGCCAAAACGTTGCAAACTCTTGGAGGCGCACCATTGTGGATCGCCCTTATTAGTTCCACATCATTTTTACATAGCTTCCATACCTAACTAACTGTCTCAATAAAGATGCATTCTTAATCCTCCAAGCGTCTTCGTCCTGTCAAATTCAACCCACGGGCGGATCAGGCAAAGGCCAAAGGGGGCTATGCCCTCTCCCGAGAATGGGCTTTTTCTTATCATGCAGAGAAACAGATGATGTGGGGGAGAACGTCAGTTTTTTCCCAAAGTAATTGAAAAAGCTCTAAAATTGTACTTTTAGAAGTACCCCATGAAATAAAGGTTACTTCAGGAAATTCCCAAACATTGGAGGTCCCAGAAAAAAAAGATTAAAGATCTATTGTGTAAATAACGGGGACTTCGGGAGGAGTCTGGCGAAAGGAACTACATGTGCCTCTGGCAATCACGACAGGATGGGGACGGGGGGGCAGGCGGGCCATAACCCCCCCCCCAACACTTTTTAATAAAGGCGATTTTGGTCCAACTTTTCCCTTCACTCTAGAAACGTGTAATAAGCACCAAAAAGGTAAGATAACGATTCAAAAATTCAGCCCCACGAAATGTGGTTCTGGATTCACTCTTGCATCAAATGAACGATCAGCGGCGTATCCCGCTCTGGGGTCCAGGAGGGGCAAATTTTATTTTGTGCTGAAAACGACTGTCTTTTTTTTTCATTTAAAACATGGTCAAATCTCCTCCCAAGTAAGGAAATACTGTACCTATATTGCTGGCGATTTGGAAAAAAAATGGCAACATATCGGGGAGCCCCCCCCCCCCCATTGGAGACTATTTTGAAGGATACATCCAGCATAAGGATCAACACTTTGCAGGTTGCCTTGCTAAATGCTGCCAATATAAAAAGTTTGGTAAAATGGCAACAGGTCAATGCAGTGCATTTATTTAAACTCAACCCTTGCAAATGCACCTTTTTGTGTCCATTAACCTTGTTTGCAGGTTTCGCTTTGCTTTCGCAGGGTATTTTGGTGCCGTTTAGGATTTTATTCTGATGATATTTCAGATATTTATGAGCAAAATTGTGTTTTCATCCCGAGAACAAAAGCAATGGTCCGTTCATGTTTGCCCCCCCCCCATTCAAATTTTGCTGACCTAAGTTCCCTTTTCCTTGGTGAATCATTCTTGTGTAGGGATACAGTAATTCTAAAAATGTATTCAATTAGCAGAGTGTGGCTTCCCAATTTTATTAGAAAAAAATTGTGAAACCAATCACAGCAACAGCGTCAGTTGACCCTAAAGTCATGGTCAAATTTTAATGTTTAAAAAGTTCACTTTTCAATAGGGATGTCAAATATTTTTCATACATAAAAGACGAATATAACTTTCATCGCTAAGACTATTTATCCCGCGCTTCATATCGCAAACAAAGGCCGTTATCTTCTGTTACACGTTATTGCAAGCTTTTAACAGACAAATAGTGCCACATACAGTCGTGATACGGACTTTTGCAAGGGCCCCTTTGTTATATCAACTGATATCGTTAGCATTGGAGTAGCCTCATACAGTTGTATGTTTCTGTTTTTGATTTTACCATTTGTGTAAATGCTGAGTCTGTACCTTATTGGAATTGTTAAAAGTAGTTGCAATCAATTTGTTTTAGTACAAACCTTCAACATGCACCTGTGTCTCAGATCACCTTATTTCTAGCATTTCTTTCACCGTTTCAATGGGTATTTTACTGTCTTTTCGGTTTTTATACTAAACAGTATTTCCCATATTCATGGCAAAACTTTGACGTCATCCCAAAAGGAAGAAAGCCTCAATGTTTCATTGGTTAGTGCACAAAGAGACCTGGATTTTTGTAGTTTGCTAAAATTTTTTGTTCTTTGCTGATTCGTTGTGTTTCATGTTCACAGCAATAAACATGCATCGGTCTCTTTCTCATAAATGTTTTCAGTATGTACATTCTGGGTTCTCAATTTCAATAGAAAACCTTATGTACAGAGTTATGTCTTCCCCGGATGATCTCACAGCTACACTGCCCTCAGTTTTCCAACAAAGCGTGGATAATTTATTTTTTTTATTTGAAATTGTATTCAACCCAATAGGAGTGCGAAAGAGTTTTTGTACACTGAAGAAGAGTACAAAGGTGCAGAAAAGTTTATTCTGAGAAAAATTCATTGCAGCTACACTCTAAATGTTTTAGCCTCCTTCATGACGTGTTTCCGAGGCAACTGATGACTCATTAGGCAGATCAATTTAACCGTGGTTACATCGTCTTGGGTGCACTTACATTGATAGGATCCCGCTATACCCGAAGCCGTCAAGGCTCGTTGCAGTTCCCTAGTATCTATCTGCCCATCCTATCGAAGACAATAGGGCTATCATTCAGGCTTAAAAGCTCAACACTGCACAGCGCTTTGAAAACTTTACGTCAAATTAATAATTATCCCTCGATCTAGCCTAACAACAAGACTTTGAGTCAAAATTTCTGATCAGGAAAAGGGTCAAAATATCGGATCCAGAACTGCTTGCAATGGACAAAAGGTGCGTTCCCCTCATCAAACTTTCACATCAATTAAATAAACAGTCGTTTTCTCTGAAGTCAAACGATACCCAAAAAGGAAAATCACATGCGCACCTCCCCACTTCAAAACAAAACACTGCATAAATCGTACACAAACTGAAATTACATTGCTAATACCAGCATTACTGCAACCTTCTAAAATACTGCACGTACCTGTCCAGCAACGGCTGAAAAATATCCCCACAGAGGATCTGCATTTGGCTGCATTGAGGAAAAGTTTATATGAATTGGAAACATAATGGAGCAGCATCTATCAATTATTCCTAACTTCATCCACGGCCCATAATCAAAGAGATCTATCTCAAAAAAGCTGCCTAAGTGCGAAGCTGCAGAGACAACATTCACAATGACCAGTTGTAGAAAGCAATTTTTACGGGAAAAAGATGCCGTGGTATTCTGAGTCGTTAAAAATCCCAACCAATTTCACTTCAACTTCTCTGTCTAGCCTTAGGGTAAAAATAATCTGCCTATCAATATTAAGAATATCATACCACGTTAGACAAGGACGGTACAACAGTTCCAGTGAATAATAAGATGGCTATCAGTAGACTTGGAGACCCGCAGAATCCAAACACCTACGGTACAGATCATAAAACAACTTTGAATGAGAGATTGAATGTGAGCTTACAAGCATATATCATATGTATTGGCGGAATGCTGCATCAGAGGATGAAATACATAAATTAGTCTTGTTTTGCCCTTTATCAAAGCAAGCTTTTGAATATTAGTCAAGCCATAATCACGCAGCTATTCGGGGAAGAGTGAGATTACTTGCATGATAAGTAACTGTAACTTTGCATACATGTAAGAGAATCCTTATCTGCCCAAATGTTACAAGTGTCAACTCGATTTGTATTGTTGTTATGGTATTTCAAGTTCGAGGACACGCGTGCCAGCCCTCGTTCACTGAGCACGGTAGTAGGAAAGTTTCCAACTTTTGGTTGACTTGTCTCAGGAAAATGGACCCTTCGCGATAATGGTATAATCGATTTTCATAACATGGGTGCAAAATGACCAGCAAAGGTTAATGGAAAACCTTTAAGCTTGCCTCGTGAAAAAAAAATGCAATGCATTGATAGAGGAAAAAAGTTAAGACGATGGGGCGCTGAATCCGCCAATTCTGGCTCTTCCGGGGTTAAATGTTCAAAGAGATTATAACTTACTCCAGCCATGGCACTTGTCACAAGTTGGTACGAGAAGAATCCCGGCACAGCCAATCTGCAGTGTATTGATGCTACACGAACACTTCAGTGGTAACTTTATTCAGGGCAAAATAGCTCGACAGTCGATGTACACGTTTGTTGACACTGCACGGTGTACGTAAATTACAATTTGTCAGGAACAGCCCGGTTTGGATCAATAGCCTGTCACAGTTCACTCCCTATTGATCCAAGGTTACAGGGGCACCTATTGAACCATACGAAATCTCCCAATAAAGAAACGACCTGCATTTTTGCTGCGCCATGTATGTAAAAGGGGCATTTTGCTCGCGTGGACAAATCTGTTATTTTGCGCGTATAGTGACGTGTGTCACATGACGGTCCAGGATCCGTTTTCACCAAACTTTATGCACATGTATAAGACCGCAAACGTGTACAGAACGAGTAAGAATGGCGGAGTATGGACAGCGGTTATTAAGCAAAATATTGACTACTTGAATGGTAATCCAGGAGACATTTTATTTTCAGCAATCACCGAGGGAAGTTCTTTTGCTATACCTTGCGTTTTAACTACGACCAGACTTTCATTCTCCTGAGGACACTGAGACTCGTCGTGTCCACATCGACATGGCGTTCTATACTACTACTACTACTACGTTCTATATACTACTTTAATTTGACTATGTAAAACTATTTTGATATGGTTTAAACGAACTAGTTTGGTTGGTTAGGATTCGACCTAGCCGTAGGCCTATTACGACGGGGAGGGATTACGTAAGACTGCCAATTAAGTTCAACACTTTATGTACTGGAAATACCACGGTATTTAATACACAACTAGTGAACGAAGGGTCTAGACTTTATCTAACAAAAGCAAATAATTCATTAGTAGTTGTCGAAATGGCAGGTTATTGTAATAGGCCGCAAATGTGGCAGCATTAGACCAGCCTGCAGTTTTAAGTATTACGTCAAATGGGATTCCATTTCGTTTGGCGGCAGTTGTTGCTGAGGCACGCACACCGTGTAATTTGAAGCAGTCATCATGGATGCCCGCATCTCTAAGAATGTTTTTTTTTTTCCATCGGCTGATAGTTTCTGATGCGGCTCTATGGGGCTTGGTCGTGATAAGCAGAAATTTCGTTTCACCTTTCCTTAGAGACTCAATTAGTTGTAGGTATTTTCGGAACAATGTGATCACACAAAGTCGTCTGTCTCGAGGGTATGCTGGAAATTCACCTAGTTGAGATAAAACCCGGTTCGCGACTGCTTCATTAGTTCAATTATCTTGAAGATGCGTCTGATTCCACGGAGCTGATATCCAGCATGTAAATTATTCACAAGCGTTGCCCCGCCCGTAGTGCCATCAAGGTAGCCGACTTTGTTGTTAATTGCTTAAGTGTGAGGTGTTGTAAGTCCTCCTTGTAATCAGCAATTTGCAGCAAAATAATGATCGACATCTCAAATACAATCGTAACAGGGAAGGTTAGGACATAAATGAAACTCACCCTTAACAAAACGACAAAAAGGTGGATGTTGTCCAAACACCACATTACCAAGTAAAGTAATTACTGCAAATAAAGCAGACCTTACTGTATTAATTAAACTGTTACTAACTCCTTTGTTAAACAAATCAGCTTTTAAAAATCTAACGCAACTTGAACGCTTGAAGACAATGCGTTGGCCCATTTTTCTGTGCAAAACTAACTGTCATCTCCTCAAAAACGAGCCATATTGTTTTAAGTGTTCGACTTCTCCAAGATGCCCGTGTGATGTCTGCTGTTCCTGGGGAAATACCCTTCGTGATCAGAGCTTTGCGAATAAGTTGCACGCCATCAACTGCAGCGTCTTGTACAGAGGATGGACGAGTGCATTGTTGAGCGGCATCGTCAGTGTTCTGCGATTCCTGCGTTAATAGAGAGGAGAGGAAACAAAGGACACTACGACTGAGTGGGCCATTGAGGAACTATAACAATAGCCTCTGCTCTATCTTCTTCCAGTTCCTAAAGAACTCTACTGATGGTGCCTGGACCGTGAAGTGCGGTACCAGCTGGAGCTCTGATGTGTGTTCCAGTTTTGTGTCGTTTCTGCAGATGGACTAGATCTGTTGTAGTATGCTCCCAGATATCTGTTGTCTTGATAGCTTCCCGAGCCGTGTGTACAAGAGGCCGGATCGGAACCCAATTTTTGCCCCATACGCTTGGTTACATTAATATCACTAATCTACTTCGGTAAGTCATCTCCAAAGAGATATTTCGTGACCGGAATATGTCCCCAACATATCTTGCGATACTGAGCATTGAGATCCGGCTTGAAGAAATCCCGTCCGCTGGAAAGATTTCCATATACGGACGCCACTTGACGCCTTGTGCACAAACCCTGTGGGGCTGGTCTGCAAAATTGGAAGTGTTTTTTAAGTAAACGACGTTTTATTCCTCCTAAATTGAACTTTTCTGGACATGTTTTTGCTTTCCGATGGCTATTAAGTCACTGTAGGGAAGAATTACTGGCGTCCGTATGTGGAACTCTTCCATCCTGGCTTTTCTGCGTGAGTTCGCAGTACGGATGTGCCACGAAGGCAATGGCATCCACGTACTTGCGTGTGACCGTGGACGGATCCCATCTAGCCTTGTCAAGCTTGTCCGTTTTCATATACTGGGCATATGCAGCAAGGTATGAGACGGAGAGAACCCCCCTGCTTTGTGTTGGTCATTGTCTCGCAGGAATCTGGGGAATTCCTTACAGACATCTTGGGGGGATGTGTTAAGCAACAATAGTCTGGAATGTGTATAGGGATTGGACATGTTGGGGGGGTACCCCGGTCTCATTTCTTGCTGGGTATAATACTGGTTGGCAGAGATAAGGGCATGCTTCTCTAAAAATTTACACACAAGTTTTTCCAAAATCTTAGAAAAACAAGATTAGACCAAAATCGGTCTGTAATTTGTTACATGAGCTAGATCGTCTTTTTTTGAAAAGTGAGTTGAAGTAATGTTCAGTTTTTCTGGGAAGATTCCTTTCGATAAAGATAAGTTAAAGATGTGACAAGGTGTCACTTATACTGGTAATAATACGTTTAATCAACCCAGGTTTAACACTATCCAAGCCAGAAGATTTTTTTATTTTTAAATTTAGAGACGATGTCGATTTCAGTTTCACTTAAAGGGTTAAGGAAAATAGAATTTTCTTTGGGCGCAGTCAAGACATTTCGATAATTGACATTAGGGTTTTTTTTATTAAGAGAGGGACCTATTTGTATAAAATAGTCATTAAAAGAATTTACCATGTCTTGAGAACAATTTAAATGATTACCATGCATGTACATAGAATTCGGAGGGGTACTTTTCTTATTCAGTAGTGAGTCTTTTATGCACCAGGTTTTTTTAGCTTCTGCAAATGTATCTTTAAAGAATTATTTCCCCACTCAAGGCTTTTTATTCAGGTTTTTCTAGTGTATTACACTGGATTTAAAAAAGAAGACAACACACTAAACTGCGATGGTTTAATATAGACTTACCCAAAGAATCTTGGCTGTTTATTCTTATTAATTTAAAATCGGTAAAAGGGATAATGTTCATTGCAGAGGTAAGAATACTATTCACACGAGTAAAGCCCTTTTCCAGCATAAGTAACTGTAAATCAAAAGGAATAAGGGGAAAACATATATTAGAGCTGACCCGTGACGGTGTGCTACGAACAGATTTTTCAACAGTATTATTCCTATCAGCCCCAAGACCTCTGGTCATGCATGGGTTCCTTGCCACACCATTTTACATGCAAGTTCCCTTGTTTGTTTACCAGGCAAGCAACTTTTAGTGTATAGCGCCCTCACAAGTTGAGATCACGAAAGGCCACTCTTGCAATGACACCCCATTGACTAATAGTAATGACATCCAATAAGGATATTAATGAAGTTGTTTTGGTAAAAATCATGGGAAAGAGTTTCATACACGAAGTTCATTTACACCCTGTGTACAAACCCTCTGAGACTGGTCTGAAAAATTTTGTTTTCACTGAAACAGCTTGTACTCTGTCGTTGCTAAAATGGACTTTCCTGACCTGATTTCTGGGGACTAATTGATAATAGGGAAATGAGTGAGTTTCATACACGGAACTATTTCCAAATTATGGAGAAATTAACCACTGATGAAGTCACAGGAATAAACTTCTTTTATTCAGGGGTGTGCTACATTTATTCTTGTCTACAACAAGACTGATTGGAGATGGCACCACATTTATGGCACATTGGTTTCCGCTCAGATTTCATGGAGGCCTTTGCCTCCCCCCCATCCCCGTGCCCCTCTCCAAACAAATGTCAAGAATTGCAAAGAAAACGCTTTTTTTCTCCATCATTTCAGGGATCTATGATACGTGTAGTACTGACACATTTCTGATGCTAAGTCACTTCCACCCATGTACTAGTAGACCCGTTTGTACCCGCCCCGTCGTCGCCGCAATTTTTCGCTGGTAATCTTCATCCTTAAAACGTCGTGTACTGCAGTATAGGAAGTTGAATATTCATGCCATCAGTGGTGCTTGGTTTGATCTGACAACATCAAATGTTGTGCTAGCGCAGTTGCTTGTATTAGGCTGTGTGCCCATTTCTACGTCGCCCCTAACCACTTTGCCCCATCCCCACTTCGCACAATTTCCACTTCGCCCCATTTCCACTTTGAGTGTTTTACAAGCGTTTTCAAAAATGGTCGAGAAGTTCCACAAACGACATGAAACGACATGTAGTTATTATAGAAAAGTCTACGACATTAAATTAATGTCACCTGCGTTGTCCATTATGGTGAATTAATACATGTGGATGGACTAGCATCGGGGTTATTTCTCATCCTCTTCAAGTTTATTTCAAAGCAACACACACAATTCGTTTTGGGAAATGTCGATGCATCCAGACAGCTGTACCCGGCGATATGGAACGTCAAAAGTGGACAACCCCATTTTCTCATTTTCTGCTAGTAGATTTTCGGGATTTTGGACTTTGCCTAAAGCATTTTCAAAAAGCGCAATTTTCCGCTAGCAAAAATTTGGATTTTACTTTAACAACTCTCGTGGCCCGCGTCCAAAGTGGACAACTAAAAACTTCAAATTCCCACTGGAAAAATAACTGTCAGGCTCCAAAAGTGGACAACCCATTTTCTGCCCGTAGATTTTCTGGGGTTTTGAAGTTACACCACCCCTTTTCATAAAACCCAATTTTCTGCTTGCAGAAATTTGGAATTTACTTTGACGACGACGGGGTGAAGTTGAAAACTGAAACGACCGCAGTGCTCCCTACGCTCAGAATGGAACGGCCTTGGAAGATGGGCAGCCTACATTAACGGTGGAGGGTGCAGCGTCCCAATTAAAGGAAAATTCTCCGCCAGGCGGAGGCGCACAAAAAGTACCCTCAGAGATTGTTTCGCAAAAAGGGCTCTGTTTGGGCCAAGAAATGGTGGGATTGTGTCAGTATGGCCCAGGATTATCTCTGTAGATTCAGGGGCACCCATCTGGGGGCAAAGAAGACAAAAATGGGATTTAAAATTAGTAATAAGAGCCCCAGGAAGGTGAGGGATGTCATTTGAAAAATGGCCGCTGGGAGGGCTTGGCAACATTCACTCGGGGGGTGAGTTTGTTTGGGCGGATAATTAAAAAATTCATTGGTTAACCTACTAAAAATTGAAAATCAAATGAAACCTGATGGACCAAATAACACATTGTTTTTNAGGGTCAATGGTCTGACGGATGGCGTCGCAGCTCGGGAAAAAAATGTGGACGATTCTCATTGAGAAACTTGCAAATACGAAAGGGACCGTCCAAAGCCTGACAGTCCTTTATGGTATACGGCAAATTTACGACTCCCTAGCGCAGCGTGTAATTAGAATGCTTGCCGTCGGGAATTTCCATTTTAAATAAATGAGCGCATGGTGATATGTCCCCTAAACGATGCTAGTTGTAATAAACCAATGTATCCATGTCCAGTGGTATAATTAAATTTGCTGTGGAACGATAAAAGGTTGGAATTGAAAAAGTCATGTCAAGAGAAGAAGCTAAGTGCTGTTTAATCAAGTGAATCGAAATTTTCAAATAGGGGAAAATAGAGAAAGTAAAATGGGAAACATTAAAATGCAACTTGAACTTGTTGAATTAATTTTGACATCCCACAAATTCCAACAAATTCCCACAAAAACGTATTCCGCAAAAATTCCAATCACAAAAAGGATAGCCACGAAGAAAATAAATCTTTCAGCCAGTACACCAGTCGGTCACTGATATGACATCAAAGATTTAATTTAATATCTATTGTTAAAATCTTTGTTCAAGTCATCAAATACAAGTGGGCTGTTATAGTAGAGGCCTGGGTCATTACTATTAAGACAAATGATTCAAAGTGACAATGTGAAGAGATATTAACGCAATGAAAACACAAACTTGCAAGTGACGGCCCAGAGCAGTCATCCTATGCATGTACTGTAAAATACATGGATGGTGGATTGTATAACAAATCTTATATCTGAAGATCAAAAAATTGGTTGTTCACTTTTGCCACTCCGAGTAACTTCCACCATAATCAGTCCATAATTTTTGTCAAGCTTGGACATATTATTATCAACAATTTCCTTTAGAATAATACTCCCCTCTAAACTCCCATAAAATTCACATCTTTGACGTAAAAAAGGCCCGATCTCTTCCACAAAATCGGCTTTAATGAGATGGAAATACAAGTTGCATGAAAAAGGCCAATCACAGCAAGGGAATGTCCAAATGACACCTGATGCCCGTCAACGGACGGCGGGTCAATACCATTAATGGGCTAGCTCCGCTAGTTTTCAATACTGCAGAGGACCGTCACTCCGGCAGCCGCTTCCCAACTGTCGTCCACATTATAAATTTTTTTTTTCTGGATCCGGTGATGCCAATCTAAAAGTTCCTAAGACCGTTCCATTTCCACGTAGGGAGAAAAGTTTCCTTTCAAGTTTCTACTTGTCCCCTTTTGGACTACCCCGCCGTCGTCAAAATAAAATCTAAATTTCTGCTAGCCAAAAAAAAAGGTTTTTTTTGAGAAGGAGTGGTGCAACTTCAAAAAACCCGAAAATCTACAAGCAGAAAATGGGAAAATGGGGTGGTCCACTTTTGGAGCATGACAGAAATTTTTCCAATGGGAATTGGAAGTTTTTAGTTGTCCACTTTGGACGCGCCACGAGAGTTGTTAAAGTAAAATCCAAATTTTTGCTGGCGGAAAATTGCGTTTTTTGAAAATGCTATACGCAAAGTCCAAAATCCAGAAAATCTACTAGCAGAAAATGAGAAAATGGGGTTGTCCACTTTTGACGCTCCATAAACTATGCAATTATTTATATCTCTCATGTAATGTATTTAGATGATTTTAGGCGTGCCTCTTGTATGTAACTTGCGTATTTTTCTTTGTCCTTTTATCTGGCTAATAAATGAAATGAAATGTAACTTTCCTTTTTGCCTGCCGAAGTCTCCTAAATCACAGCAGATTTTAGTGTTGGAATGATTATGAATATCAAGCTTTGGTCCAAAATGGCAACACACATTGGCCAAAAAGTGCATGGGTGTCACCAGAATGGGAGAGGGGGAAAACCGTCTAGTTAAAACAATAACATTTAACAGCGAGAAGAGGTTCGATTTTTTCCCAAAGCAAATAATTATGTTCTATTTCGTTTCTAATTTTCATTTCTTTGGCTGTTTTTTGTTTTGTTTTGTTTTTTCGTTCATTTCAGCCCCTCTCCTCCCGTGGCGCTATGTAAATAGGATTATTTAAAGTATAAATGAAAATGTACCTTAATTCTTTCTACAGGCAGTCTGCCAATGAGTCAAAGTAGACTATCCCACTTCCGGATGTGGAAATTTACCAACGAAAGAGATTTCTTTTTGATTTCTTTTATGTTGGATATTAAGCTTGTTTGAAATGTAACATCCCTGTCTATTCCAATTGGCAACCCAGAAGCAAATCTCAATGCATTTCATCCTATAGATAGGCCTGCACGTACATTTGAAAACAGCGCGCTGAATAGGACTTTTTTATGAAACTATTGAAATCATTCGCTACGGCGGGATATCAATTTGGCGCCTCGGCAAGATCATATAACTCGCCGCGGCGAGATACACCTTCAATGATTTAACTCGCCGCGACGAGATAATAACTCTCCCTGTTGACATAGTAAGTCGCCGCGGCGAGATAGTAACTCCAACAATTTTTTGGAAGTGGCCCTTATACGCTTCCGTATGGTGCAGACCAGAACCAATGTTAATCAACTCCAGTCACTGAATATCGAATGCGCGTATAAGTCTTGCGCGTCGTGTTTGCGCGTCCAGGCTGTGCACGCGATAAGAGCCGCAGCGTTGTTTTGTTGGAAACGCGTACAGTTTTTCTGGAACGCAGAACTCTTTTAAAATGGCATTTGTACGCACATTTCGCGAACGATCACAGTTGACTTTTGCAAGCGGTTGAATCTGTACCAACTAACTCTTGCTCCAGAAGAAAAATCCCAGGGAAATAATATTTGTCTTAACAACAAGGTAAGCATATACAGTTTATTCCATACTTGCAAATGCCTTTTTGGCATGGACATAAATATGTGTTTAAGTTTAATTGAGAATGATGAAACAAATTGCCATGTAGGCCTAGGCTTAGAATTTATTTAGGCCTAGGTTAGGTAGGCCTAAGGCCTATAACTAAGGACACGAAGATCTTATACCGGTAACAGTTTAAACCACTGTGCTATCCTCTCTGTTTTACTTCGCAGGCCCAGGCCTAAATTCACTTATTTTTAGGATTGTCACTGAAGAATCAGACATAACCAGTATTAATTACGGTTTCGGCAGTTTGGCTCCTACTCCATTTCTAAAAGCTTATAGGCCTAGGGCCTATTAAGGCTATAGCTTCCTACTGCAAAAATATCTTTTCAATTTTACAGTCAACGGTTGCCACAATGGATTGGCAAGCGCAACTGGTGTTGACACTAACAGTATTTGTGATACTGAGTCTGTCGTGCCAAGCTGAAGACACCGCGTGCCCCCCAGGATGCAGATGTGGTGTGGGACAAGCAGCCTGTCGGAAACCGTATAATGGCACTCAACCTCTTCCTAATCACACAACAAAACTGTAAGTAGCCTAACCCTAGGCCTAGGCCCTACGTCAAGTTTTTAATGAAAATTTCTCAAATGCTTGGGTGACATTATTTTTAAGTATTGACTGGACAATTGGCATGATTGGACAAAGACGCCTTGAGGCGATATCTAGGCCAGCCTAATTAGTAATTAGCGTTGTGAGATTAGGGCCTAGTGGAGAAAGCATTTTTGCAACGTCCTATGGGCCCATGTTCTGAACGTAACGGAACTTTCATGTGCAAGACTAAAGTTCTCAACATCAAACGCCAAATCCTCCTTACAGCAGGATAATCCGGCATGGAAAATGTTTTTCTTGGAAGCAACTGAATAAATTAAATTAAATTGATAAATGGTCCATTCTGTGCATCTTTGAAGGACTTAATATTATTTGCCATCGATGTATTAATAAAGAATCTGTGATTTTTTTTTACACGCATGGTATCGAGACTTTTGATTTCAAGAACGGAAATACTCATTATATCCCTGAAGTTCCTTTCGGCGAGTCCATTCTCTCTAATGTTGTGGTTGTCAATCATTTGCAACACTGTGTAAAACTAGGGCTAATTGGAACCCGGACTTGGAAAACAAATGGAAAGCTCGCAAGAGAGAACAATTTAGTTTTTGATATTTGAAGGAACAGCGCTTTCGAGTTACAGGCCTGCTTCAGAAAGTGGTTCATAGTTTTGTTCTTAGAAGAGGTTATACTTTCTCAATTTGTAGATTGTCTGCACCCACATTAAAAAATGAAACAACTTCAAGTAATCATTTAGCAATTGTTAAGAATTTGTATGATTCAAATGGAATATCAATTCTTACTGTTTTCAGGTTTATACCTCGAAATTCAAAGATCTTTTCTCTTGTCATAGCGAACTACATACAGTTGATCCGATTGTGCTCAGGGCACTGGTCCAAAGCGTGCCACAACTGAAGCATCTCATGTAAGTTGACATTAATTGGGCGAATGACGCAACAAAATGTGAGTTTAAGTTAAACTTTAGTTGCTACCTGGTGACGCAAGTCAGTTCTATCAGTGCACTGGTATATAGGACAAGGGACCATTCCACTTCATGTACTATGGAATTCCATATCTGCTGTCGCCCGTCGTCCGTCGCATTTTGCTTTTTGTTGTGTCCCAATTCTGCCATTTACCAGTTCCAAGCATGCCATTTCCCGTCGTGCGTCGTCCGTCGCCCATCAAATGGGTTGCGTTGGACCTGCAAAAGCCGGGGTTTAACAAATGACAATGTGATGATTCCATTCACTTCTAAAGATCTTTTCCGAATAACGCAAGTACAAATCCCACCTGCAAAGCATATACTAGTCACATAATTAATGCCAATAATGCTAGACTANTTCTGATGTGCATACTGTAAAAATGTTCCGACTTGTTTTCATCAAATTCCAGGAAGAAATCTGCCAACCGATACAGATATTCCATTTTGTCCTCTCAATTTCACCTTGAAATCCAGAAATACTGGACGTGCTGTGGATAACAAACTGTTTATTAAATGCATTGTTAGGGGGCAATTACCACTTGGTTTAAGTGAGTAACGTTACGTCTAGAGTAACTAAGTTATCGAGAAAAACAATCTACCCTAACAAAAGTCTATTTTGTTAATTTATTTATGTAACCAAAATGGTATTATTTCATATACACGTTACTTAACCGATGTCAGGATATTATTTCTTCTTTCAATTGGAGTTTGGCGCAACTGAAAAAACGAATACATGTACATCTGCTAGTTCTATTGCTAATTGAGAGTCAGGCATGGTGGATCGATCGAACAAGGACATGTACATGCGAAACTATCAAGGGTCAAAGTTAAAAATACCACTGCGCAATCGTGACCAAAAAAACACGGGCGACGCACGACGGGCGACGCACGACGGCAGATATGGAATTCCATAATGTATGCATGCTCATAAATTACCACGACCGTAAAAAGTGTGTGAAGCCCACCGGAAATGGTCATGAGTATCAAACTTCGTGGTCATTTTTCCTTCTATTTTTCCAATGTTTTTCACTTTTTTACTTCAGAAAAGTTCTTGGTGTGCAAAATAAGAATTGAAATTGCATTCATCCTGCACGCACTAGATAAAAGAAAATTGGCAGGGTAGATACCTTTCTGTTAGTGTGAAACAAATAATTTTGATTCGGGGTAAAATGCATCATTAAAATTACAGTTAATAATTTTCGTATTATGCATGTGGCAAGCCTCAACTTGAGGGGGATTTCCAAATCTCAGCTTCGTCGCCGTCTCAGGCTTCTTCGCCGGCTCACGCAGGCTTAGTACCAAACTGCTTTATTGATAATGTTTGAAGTTAAATTTAAAAAAATATCCATCACTGTGGGACGAAGACACACAATTAAATGTTGTTGGAGCAAAACCTGCCTTGTTATTGAGCTTAGGCCCCTAAAGCTTCAATGTCAGTGGGTAAAAAGTAGGCCAAGCCACGATCGGAGTCAAAACTGCCAGTTGGAAACCCAAAGTGGCCTGCAATCAGCTGGTGAGAATGGTGCGTGGTACTCTAAGTAGTTCGTTGGGTCTCTCGCACTCAGGACAAAAAGCAATTTAGAAAGTTTATAAAGCGTAAATACCAGGTGGGGTTGGAGTGTGGGTATCGCTCCACTTTTGACCGGAGTGAGACCGGATCGATCCGGGTCAAATTCTAATCCCTCCGGGCGAGATACTAATCTGCGAAATACTAAAAATTGGTACGGTTGCAATGGAAGGATTTACCAACCCCGATTTACCTCAATACAGGCGATCCACAATAGTGTGCCTCCAATACGCATTGTGATTGGTCAACGCGTTGCAAACTTTTGGAGGCGGATTGTGAATCGCCCGTATTGAATTTATTGGTATGCACTAAGGAATTAAAATAATTCGAAAATCATTTTAAAAAATTTTACATGTATATCGTCCAAAGGATCCGTTCAATAATTGGTCTAATATGGTGGATAAAATGTCAGTCCATTATCCATTGATATTTAACGGAACTTTTTTTTTCTTTGTTCCATTCAGGCTGAATCGCCCGGAAGGATTTACAAGCGAGAATGACAGTACTGCTCAACCGGATTACGAGCAAAGAATGATGTGAGCAAACAGAAATTTCTCTTTCATTAATTCCCTTGAATGCCCTTGTAAGGTCCATGTATACACTTCATGTACAGTATGAAGCTACAACAAAAGCTGCTCTTACCGGCTACCCCATCAGCACGACATGAATTTGCTCTTTCTGTGTTACGGTCCAATTTCGCTCATTAGCGGGCAAAGCTATCAGTTCTAAAGAAAAAGACTAGATTGATCAATATAAGTGTTTGAAAATCTCACGTGGTTGTACTCTCCCATCCTGAATGCATGTATTTTACAAACAAGATGACTTTGTCAAGTCTTAAAAACAAAGGAAGACAGAGACTGAGCTTGTTCTCAAATGTTTGTTTACGATTAATATGAAAAAAACAAGATTTTGCTTTGAAACTATGCTAACTTTTTCTTTGAATTAAATGTACTACAAAATTACTACATTTCCGGGTTTTGTCACTTTCTAAAAACACCAACAAATGGATGAAAATTGCGCCGAACAGAAATGCACAATGATTAGTATATTGAATTAAAACTGCTGCAAGTTTTCAAAGGAAACTTAACGAAATTCAATGAAATGCCTGTAAGGATACGGGCGATTCACAATAGTTGAGGCATGCAAATTCGTTTTCGCCACCAAGAGTTTGCAACGCGTTGATCAACAGTGTGTGAAATCTGTCGACCCTTTCCAAACGCGCATTGGGTCGACAGATCTCGTGTATTGTGATTGGCCAACTCGTTGCAAACTGTTGGTGGCGCACTATTGTGAGATGCCTGTATTTAAGGAAATTCAATTTTGAGAAGTGGAAGCACTGAGAAAATATGGCGGGGGTCCATATACATGCACTCGTACATATTGTATTCATCGTAAATACCAATAAGCAGCAGCAAGTCCTCGAAAGAATGTTCCATTCCTTGGCCTCTGAAAATCATTTTTTAACACTACCTTCCGACTGTATGGACTAAGGCATCACACCAAGTCAATACGTCATTTTGAAAGTGTGGGCTTTAATGTACTTTGAAGTTTGCTTTTAATATCATAGGACCGTCGAGGAACTTCATGATCTTCAGAAAGGAGTCATTGGACTGGCAAGCCTTGAGACCTTGTAAGTATTTATTTGCAGGTTCATTCGTTTTGGTTTATTTATTGTTTGGTTGATTAGAACTGTATGAGATATATATGCTATTTCCTGCTTGAGTATACATGTATGTTTAACGGCTCTTCCCATTAAGTTGTGAGCAAAATTTTAAATCTTTTAACGAGTTTAAGTTCGTTTTATTTTCAGTAAAATTCTCGTTTCAGTAAACCTCTTCTCATCTTCGTAAACACATATTCATATCAGCACGGATGCTACGGTTCGGCTTATTGTTTCAGATGGGGTTTTTGTTGACATGGAAATTCGTTTTCACGCACACAGTTTGTTAACTTTGCCATTTGCGTTTCCATCATTCCACTTCGTTTATGGGCATTAAAAACTACACTATCACCACTTTTCAATATAATCGCTGCTGCCTTTTCTCAATATGTGAATATAGGTAAAGCTATTTCGCGTTCAATTATTTAGCAGTAACCCATGGGTACGACCTGTACGCCATGTTGGATCCCACCATGCCTTGCGCGATCTAACCCTGGTATTTTATAATTTAAATACCTCACTTATTTGGGATAATTAAATTAGGCCTTTAGCCAGTGTGTTTACGCGTGACGCAGATTTACGCGTTTGGCTAAAAAATACCCTGAACATTGATGTGCTATTCTTTTCACAGTTTATGATGTACATTCCAGGAATGTACTCAATTTAAAAGATATTATGCCTTAGAAAGGTTTATTTTTACCTCTAATAGAAATCCTGTTAATTCGGTACTAAATGGGGCATTTATTCTTTGCTGTGTAATTAATTAAAATCTAATGCGAACTGAGTGTGTATTGACTTCTCTTTTTTAATGCAATGTAACACACAAGAGAAACTTGAACAAAAGGCCCTGAGTGGGGGAATGGCATGAATAATGTGCAGGATAATACAGGGGCCTGCTTTTGAAATACGCGTGCGATTCATTTTGCGTTTATGTATATTCAACCCTGAATAGCCAGTCAACGTCATTTTTGAACAGACCTTGCCATGAAATATGCAAATAAGGCATGCGCATGCGCATTAGTGCAAAGTTGCTCAAATCTTTGACGTAACAATACAATCCATGTGCGCGTCACTATCGCCGCTTCTATGCTAGTATAGTTTGACATGAGATGCCAAACTTTAAGACCAGGAACTGTTACTTTCCAACCTCAGGACACTGAAAACTTCACTTACTTTCGAGAAAGGTGTGCTCAAGTATCAGGCAAAGGCTTTAATATCGTTTATATTGACCGTCAACGCTCCAGGTTATAGTTACTAGCAGCTCGCCTACGCTCCCGACAGTGTTGACGTCTGCACTTACTGGTAGTAGCACGCATGCGCCTGTCCAATTTGCATATTTCATGACGGTCCATTCTAGACAACCATAGGCTAGTGAAGGAACGCGCACGCGGCCCATAGATTTGAGTCCGACGTTGATTGGTCAACGCGTTGCAAACTCTTAAAGGCGCACTATTGTTGATTGCCCGCATTAAGCCCACATGAAATGAACAAAATATAACCTCAATTAAAGAGGGAATACAGGCTCTAACTAGGACTGCTACACTTTTCTTTAGTTTCACATCTTAAATATATATATAGTGTTGCTATTTTTCTGTTCGTCTGCTATTCTTCTATCACTGCACTGTATCCTCTTACGTAGTTTTGACCTAAGAAGTCAGTGATCTCTAGCATTCGTTGCAAATTCACAACTCTCTTTTTCTTTTTTTTCTTTCGCACCCTGCTTGAACTAACGTCTTGGATTTAGAAAGAAGCAGTTTTATGTGGACGAGACCGTTGTAAATATTAATATTTTCAAATAAATGGTGACATCCCATGTGATATCGGTAGTCGCATGCTGGTGCGTTACTGCATTATTGGTCCGCTTGATCGCCATACTTCTCAGTTGAAATTTGCACGTGGTGCGTATAAGTTTACAACCGTCGCGCGACTGACAATAAACCATTATGAAGACATTTAGAAGGCGCATTATTCACAATCCGTTATCGAGTACTAGCGTATTGCGGCCAAAACTGCCGCTTATACCTGCACTCGTATTACGAAAAAATAACTTTGACCCCATTATAGTCATGCATATTTTTTCCGGCAATATGTGATTTTATCTTTAATTTTTTGTCAACAGTGTTTGAATCATTGCTAATAATTTGTCCACAACAGAGTGATGAACGAGAAGGCACTAGAATGCTCATGCGACCTGTTGAGTTTGGCGGAGGCAGCTTATGGTAATGGTGTGGATCTGTATCACGTCATTAAACTTCTGATGAGTCAATCTTGCAGACAAGAAGGGCTGGATCTCGATCTCCATTCTCCCCTAGAACTACTTTTGCTATGCTGTAAGTTTCTACCTTTGCAATGATGTTTCCCATCAGTGCACGTCTTACTGCACACATGAGAGTATGCCCTTGCATTTTAAGGCGTCTGGACCATAAACAAAGAAGGCTTATCCCTTGATTTAATGATGACCTGACCCACTTCTTCCCTGGGAAGTGTTGGGAGTCGGGAAGAAAACAACAAACAACTTCTTTTTTGGCTCAGTGCCGTTGCATGGCTACATCAAAGTCAACAGCTATTTCACTGCAAAACAACAAACAACTTCTTTTTTGGCTCAGTGCCGTTGCATGGCTACATCAAAGTCAACAGCTATTTCACTGCAAAACAACAAACAACTTCTTTTTTGGCTCAATGCCGTTGCATGGCTACATCAAAGTCAACAGCTATTTCACTGCAAAACAACAAACACTTTTCAGCAAACAGCAAACACTACATTACAAATCTTTTTCATTAAAAAATGGACCGATTAAAAGATGAAAAGATGGATAAACGTTTGGGCATTACCTCAAAACGACATGCAATAAACCGTCTAAAATATTTACTGTTTAGTAATTAGTAATTTTCCTGTACACAACAACAGGTTTAGGTGAAATGACATTGTTGAATGAAAGGTTTCCTTCATATTAGTTTGCATTCATTGTCTCCATGGTGCCTAGAATAGTGTGATTCTCTTTCAGGTGGCAACAGGACGATTAGTGACAGTCTGTATTCTCCTGCGAGCCTTCTGTGATTCAATTCATCTTATACATTAGCAGAATACATTATGTTAAAATCTTATGTAAAATCATGCTAGAGACGTAGAAAAAAGGACATTTATCACTTATTTCCACAGCTTCTCGTTCATCATATCAACTCAAACCATTTCAATCAAAACCAGCACTTCTCCAGCCAAAAGAAAGCCAACTTTTATCAGCTGAAGAAAAAGTTTCGGAGATTCCTGGCCCCAGTTCCCACATTAGAGTACGACGTGCTGGTGAGAAAAAGCCCAAAAGAGGCAGGAGAAAGAAAGGAAAAGGAAAGAGGCGGAACAGAGGAAAAACGTGGAAAGGAGGACAGAGACGGAAAGGAAGAAAGAGGACAAAAGGAAGAAAGAAAGGGGGAGAAAAACCAACGAATATTTTGACAAAAGAGAAATCAGTTAATCCAGGAACAAGAGATGTAAGACTCAAGGTAGAACGAAATGAGAGGGAATCGCAACCCAAAGAAATTGAGATAAAACCAGTTAAACCTGGGAGAGGGAAGCCAAGAAGAGGAGGAAAAGGGCAACGAAAAATAAAGAGAAGGAGGAAATGGAGAGGAAAAAGGAAGGGAAAAGGAAGGAAGAGGAGTAAAGGAAGAAAACGAGGGAGAGGAAGGAAGCGGGTAAAAGGAAGAAGAAGAGTAAAAAGAAGAAGTAGGGGAAAAGGAAAGCAGCCGGTTATAGCGATGGAAGACAAAGAACGGGAAAGGGAAGAGGAACCAGCGACAGAAGAGACAGGAGTAGCAGGCGACAAGAGAGAACCAGTAGAGAAGATTGGAACAGGGAACAAAATTAAAAAAAAAAATAAAAAGGCCATGAAAGAACTGGATCAAGCAGAAATGCCGACTAAAATACCTGGGTCAGAAAACTCACGGAAAGGAAAAACTAAGACACCAAAGAAATGGAAAGGAAAAACAAAAGGAATTGGAAAAAAGAAAGGGACACCACCAGTTATTGCAACAGAAAAGGAAGAAGCTGGAACAGAAGAGAAACCAGTTAATCCAGAAGCGGTACTAGAAGAGGCTGAGGCAGAACCAGATGCAAAGGAAACAATGCCTGAAGAACTTGAAATACAACCAGTTGAACAAGAACCAGTTAAACCTAGGGAAAAGAAGCCAGGAAGAGGAGGAAAAGGAAAAAAAAAGAGGAAAGGGAGAAAGAAGGGAATACGAAGACAGAAAGGGAAAGGGAAACGACCATTTATTGTGATGGAAGAGGAAGAAGCAGGAACGGAAGAGAAACTAGTTAATCCAGAAACAATAGAACCAATGGAAGAACCAGTGGAAATGGAAACAAAGCCTGAAGAAACTGAGATAGAAGTTGTTGAACAAGAGCCAGTTATACCAGGGGGAAAGAAGCTCGCAAAAAGAAGAAAAGGAAAAAAGAAGGGGCAAGGGAGAAAGAGGGGAAAAGGAAAGAAAGGAGGAAGGAAGCCACCCGCTGTTGTAATAGAAGAGGGGGAAAAAGAAATAGAAGAGACAGCAGTTAATGCAGAAACAGGAGAAGAAGGACCAATGGCAGAACCAGTGGAAATGGAAACAAAGCCTGAAGAAACAGAGATAGAACTAGTTGAACAAGAACCAGGGGGAGAGAAGCCCAAAAAAGGAAGAAAAGGAAAAAAGAAGGGGCAAGGGAGGAAGAGGGGAAAAGGAAAGAAAGGAGGAAGGAAGCCACCAGCTGTTGTAATAGAAGAGGGGGAAAAAGAAATAGAAGAGACAGCAGTTAATGCAGAAACAGGAGTAGAAGGACCAATGGAAGAACCAGTAGAAATGGAAACAAAGCCTGAAGAATTGGAGATAGAACTAGTTGAACAAGAACTAGGGGGAAAGAAGCCCGCAAAAGGAAGAAAAGGAAAAAAGAAGGGGCAAGGGAGAAAGAGGGGAAAAGGAAAGAAAGGAGGAAGGAAACCACCGGCTGTTGTAATAGAAGAGGGGGAACCAGAAACAGAAGAGACAGCAGTTAATGCAGAAAAGGGAGAAGTAGGACCAATGGAAGAACCAGTGGAAACGGAAATGAAGCCTGAAGAAATGGAGACAGAACTAGTTGAACAAGAACAAGGGGGAGAGAAGCCCACAAAAGGAAGAAAAGGAAAAAAGAAGGGGCAAGGGAGAAAGAGGGGAAAAGGAAAGAAAGGAGGAAGGAAGCCACCCGCTGTTGTAATAGAAGAGGGGGAAAAAGAAACAGAAGAGACAGCAGTTAATGCAGAAACAGGAGAAGAAGGACCAATGGCAGAACCAGTGGAAATGGAAACAAAGCCTGAAGAAACTGAGTTAGAACTAGTTGAACAAGAACCAGTTATACAAGGGGGAAAGAAGCCCGCAAAAAGAGGAAAAGGAAAAAAGAAGGGGCAAGGGAGAAAGAGGGGAAAAGGAAAGAAAGAAGGAAGGAAGCCACCAGCTGTTGTAATAGAAGAGGGGGAAAAAGAAACAGAAGAGACAGCAGTTAATGCAGAAAAGGGAGAAGAAGGACCAATGGAAGAACCAGTGGAAATGGAAACAAAGCCTGAAGAAACTGAGTTAGAACTAGTTGAACAAGAACCAGTTATACAAGGGGGAAAGAAGCCCGCAAAAAGAGGAAAAGGAAAAAAGAAGGGGCAAGGGAGAAAGAGGGGAAAAGGAAAGAAAGGAGGAAGGAAGCCACCAGCTGTTGTAATAGAAGAGGAGGAACCAGAAACAGAAGAGACAGCAGTTAATGCAGAAAAGGGAGAAGTGGGACCAATGGAAGAACCAGTGGAAACAGAAATGAAGCCTGAAGAAACAGAGACAGAACTAGTTGAACAAGAACCACTTATACCGGGGGGAGAGAAGCCTGCAAAAAGAGGAAAAGGAAAAAAGAACAGGAAAGGGAGAAAGAGGGGAAAAGGAAAGAAAGGAGGAAGGAAGCCACCCGCTGTTGTAATAGAAGAGGGGGAAAAAGAAATAGAAGAGACAGCAGTTAATGCAGAAACAGGAGAAGAAGGACCAATGGAAGAACCAGTGGAAATGGAAACAAAGCCTGAAGAAACTGAGTTAGAACTAGTTGAACAAGAGCCAGTTATACCGGGGGGAGAGAAGCCTGCAAAAAGAGGAAAAGGAAAAAAGAAGAGGAAAGGGAGAAAGAGGGGAAAAGGAAAGAAAGGAGGAAGGAAGCCACCCGCTGTTGTAATAGAAGAGGGGGAACCAGAAACAGAAGAGACCGCAGTTAATGCAGAAACAGGAGAAGAAGGACCAATGGAAGAACCAGTGGAAATGGAAACAAAGCCTGAAGAAACAGAGATAGAACTAGTTGAACAAGAGCCAGTTACACCAGGGGGAAAGAAGCCCTCAAAAAGAAGAAAAGGAAAAAAGAAGGGGAATAGGAGAAAGATGAGGAAAGGAAGAAAGAAAGGGGGACAGAAACAACGAGCTATTGTAGTAAATGAGGAAGAACCAGTAAAACAAGAGAAACCAGGTGCAGCAGAGATAGGAGTAATAGGTGCCAAGGTAGAACCGATGGAAATACAAGAAACAAAATTAGCAGAGGCCATGAGAGAATTAGATCAAACAGAGATACCGTTTGAAACAGAACCACTTGAGCCAGAAATGAAACTTGAAGAAGCAGAAACTGAACCACTTTGGCCTGAGACGGACCTTGTAGAGGCAGAAACCGAACCGTTTGAGCCAGATACAGAAATTTTTGAAGCAGAAACTGAATTACTTGAGCCAGAAACAGAACTTGTAGAGGCAGAAACTGAACTACTTGAGCCTGAAACAGAACTTTTAGAAGCAGAAACTGAACTGTTTGAACCTGAAACAGAACTTGTTGAGGAAGCTGAACCACTTGAGCCTGAAACAGAACTTGCTGAGGAAGCTGAACCACTTGAGCCTGAAACAGAACTTGTTGAAGCAGAAACTGAACCACTTGAGCCTGAGACAGAACTTGTTGAAGCAGAAACTGAACCACTTGAACCAGAGACAGAACTTGTTGAAGCAGAAACTGAACCACTTGAACCAGAGACAGAACGTATGGAAGTAAACATAGAGTCAGAAGAGGAGCTGTTTGAACCTAAGACAGAAGTAGCAGAAATAGATGAAAAATGTAAGTTGCATACTTGTGTCAATAATTAACTGAGCACTTAAACCCTTACCAAACTTTAAAACACCTTCTTTTGCTAGAGTTGTATTACGAAGAGGTAAAATTAACCAATCATAAAAACTTCCTTTGATAAAGCCATTTTATGATTGATTTGCAAGCATTGCTGATCAGTCACCTGTAATGGCAAAATTACAAATTAGGTAGTATAGAAAGCTAATGAGCTACTCTTCAAGATGCAACCAAGCTGAGTTTGTGACAGTAACAAACTAATTGTCTCCAGATTTCATGTTGAGAAATCCTCTTCTGAACATCCATACATAAGCCTAATAACAGTGGACGAGGATACTTAATGCATAACTTGTATTTCTTTATTTCTAGTATAATACTTCTGCACCTACTCAGTAATTCAACAATTACACATGTAGCAAGGTACACTGTAAACAAAACATAGAAAATACACCAGAAAATAAAAGAAGTGAAATTGCCAATATTTAGGCAGTTTTTTTTATTCAAATGCAGAATCGATATTGAGAAGTAAGAACTTTACATTTCACACCAGAACTAAGTTAGGTTCTACTGCCCAAAAGCAAACAAGTTAAACAGTAATGTTTTTCTTGATTAATATTCAATTGACATTTATAGTGATGAAGGAACTGCGTGACCTCTTGGAAGCGACCAAGATGGATCTTCCAGTTGACATCAATGATCCATACGATCTGGGTCTTCTCCTTAGACACTTACGTCATCACTCAACTCTCCTTGCCCACATTGGTGACCCTGATGTCAAAAAAGAAGTCCTGAGCGCCATGAATGAAAAAGACGAAACTGGTAGGAAAATTTCAAGTTTTAAGCTGATCAGCTCAGATGCTTATGAAACAATGCAACCTATATCTTTAAAGTAAAAAAAAACAAAGAATGGGAAACATGGTTCAAGGGCTGTCATTGTGTGGATGATTTGTGGTAATAAAAAGGACTTGACTTAAATAATACATACTTCTATGAAAAGCAACTTTGTGAGGGGGCGAAAATGGGGGACAAAAACATTTTCAGAATTTGTATGCAACCTTTTGTGGTCTTTCTTTGGGGTGAGGCCAAAAAACTACAACAATCAAAACTTACATATTACTAATTTACAATTGCAATTTTTTGTTACCAAGAGAGTTGTTTGTCTGCTTTAACAGAGTTTCTGTAAGACATCACACGGTGAGCAAATGGTAAAATGGACAATGGGGATGATGCCTGAACTGGATGGTAGTCAAGGAGCAGGAACTGCTTTACTGCAAACAACATTAAGTGGATCAAAACAGACAGAACAGTCTAGTAAATAGAAAAGACATCACGAAAACTTCTTTCTCAAAACCTTCATAAACATCTCTCAGTGTATGTAGAAGTGTTTTAAATTTGTCTTTGTTTTGGGGGGAAGGTCTTTTTGAGCTCAACTTGTATGAAATATTTCATCCACATTACAACCATGCCACTTGAGGATATGCTAACCTGTTGGAGAAAAATTAATTTTAAAATGTTTCTGGCGGAAACATTTGATTTGGTGTGTGTGGGTTGATACCAATTCCATTAATTTATTATCAGACGGATAATTAATCTGTTTATTTTGCTAAGCAAACAATACTGAGAGGCGATTCTATGACTGCATAGTTATAAAATTATCCAACCCCCAAGATTTAGCCAGTTGTTAAATTTTATACAATAACAGTGCTAAATGGCTAGCTTTTTCATGGATAACAACAAAATAAGAAATACAAGCACTACCTAAGGTAGTCTCAACTGGTATTGACTTGCACTCAAGACTAAGCAAAGATTTTTCTTCTGATGAACAAAACTGAGCCCAACCCAATATTGGTAAATGGACATGTCCTTGAAGCAAACGCAGAGCAGTACAAGGTTGATAAAGCATGCCAGTATCTTTTCAAATTGTTATTTCTTTACGATACTTCTACTCTACTTAATTGTAGACCCAGTAACTAGGGCACTGTACTCCTTTTATGATATTTGACTTTTTATTGGTTGTCACTGAAGTCAAAAATCATAAAAAAGGAGTACAGATTTCCAGTTACTGGGTCAAGTTGCACTGTTTGTTTGCAAATCCAATTTTAACCAATACACCAAATGTGGCAAATATATATGTCATTTAAACTGTTGCTTGTTAAAGATTCAAATTAAGTGTACTATAAAAATGAAAAACTACAGTTCTCAAAATAATCTTTAGCTAGAAAAGCTTCTGAGATTTCTAACAAACTGAACAAATTTAGATCAGAATTAAAATGTTTTGTTTCAACAAATAACTGGTCAATCCATTGGTTCTTGATGGTGAATAACCTTTTGACATCTTGTGTCCCTGTTTACGTCAAAATTTAACTTAAATTTACTTGCAAGTTTTTCATTGTTTTTCCAAAGTAATTTCACTGCTCTGAATAGAATTATTATTTAAAGCTTGAAACATTCCGCAAGTTAACATAAAAAATTGTTAGGTTATTGTGTGGGAACCTCTAACCTGTTTCACATTCAACTACAAGCCTTGTCCTGCAGTGTGCCCTCAAGCAAAGAAGTGGTGGTGGTTCATAGTTGGTTTGGGGTACCGGAACAACAGGTGGCATGCTTTCACACTATTTAAAGCACCTCTAAGGAAAATATGTTTTCTCTGATTTTATCTGTTCGAATAAATATGGAAGCATCCAAATCGAATGCAGTGCCATTTGTCTTCAGAGCTCAACCTTAACAGTTAAAAAGGCCTTTTTTCTAGTGTTCATAACAAGATGAAAATTCTAAATGTAGATTGTGTCAGAAAACTGAAAAAATGAGTGGAACCCTCGTCCAATGTTCATACTGGTTATTATAAACCATTGTGTATGCCCAACAATGTTGTGAAAAATGACACTGCATTCGATTTGGATGCTTCCACGTTTATTTGGACCGGTAAATCCGAGAAAACATGTTTTCCTTAGAGGTGCTCTTTAAGTGACAACTCACTGCTTACATGTATGTAGGGGGTAATGGGAGTTTGGCATGGAACAAAGATAAAACAACCTGTCAAAGTGAATCACAACACCGAAATAATGTTGAAGAACCATGGATATTTCATATGGCTGTGTACTGCTCAGGGTGTGACAGACCCCTTGTCCCATCCCTTCAATCCATCAGTCTGAACTCCACCAAACTCAATCTCTATGTACATCCCAATGTTCAATGCAACCCTAACTTGAAGCCAGTATTATATTCTCCAGTACTGCTGCAACGCGCTGAGCTTACAACAGTTTTAGCTGATACCTTGCTGTTCAAAAAACAGGTCAATGAAAATCTGACATGCTGTTCTTGCCAAATTTCCACTTCTCCAGAACAGGGAAGCACCGGCAATTGCTCAAAGCATAGGCCAACATGCATGACAGTGGCCCAAACAAAAAAAATTGTCAAGAGTTACTTTGGAATTTCAGAGGTAGATTCATAATGATGAGAGCGTTTACATGCATGTCATGTTTCAGAAAGATTGGTCATAGGACTGCTGGGATTGCTGAGACGGAGGTTGACTTTGCCTCACCTGGCAGTGGGAAGAAATTTAACCATTATAAATCCCTCCGACACTGGTAACATATCCAACGTTGATTTGGACACTACCACAATCACAGGAAATGATGATGAAACAACAAAATATTCAAAATGTAAAGCCACATTTTAATACAAATGGTGTGTGTCACAATATTGATCAAACAGAAGATAAACACAACAGAAAGACAACTGTCTCTCAACCATCATGATTTCATGACAGAGAACACAAAATGTTTTATTTTATTTTATACAAGTACATGGTCACTTTAACTTGGATCTATCAAATTGTCAGGTCCATACAGCTATCTTGAATTGAGTGCCAACTCCTCATTTATTTGCGTGAAGAAACTTAGTCCACTTCCTGGACTGTGTTCCTAGCCTGTGCACAATGACAGTGTATTATCCACCAACAGAGGGCGGTCACACACACAGCATCTGGATCCCAAGCATGGTCCAGTCCATTTGCTCAACTCCCCAGAAAATTCAATGAACTTTATTGACGCTGCTCAGTTTGTACTGACTGGTTCACACACGTGTAGCACTGTGCGGGTGTTGCATATCATGCATAATGCATCTGTTTAACCGGATGGCACCTGCTCTAAGAGTGCACACATGTTGCATATGTACATCTACTGAACAGCAAATGCCTTTGGGTTTAAAAACCTGAGCATAAAATGTGAAACGAGAGTGTCTCACTTGAGTGGAATGCACTAGACAGTGCCTTTTACTAACCTAACCTGAATTTAAATACTTTTTTACTATTTACAAAAAAAGTAACAGAAAAAAGGTGATTCATATTTAACCTCACTGATAATAAAAGATTGTCAATCAAATCATCTGCAGGATTTGCTTCTTAAACTTGTTCATTTAAAGACCAGTTCATACTTCAGGCAAATAGGAAAGCAAATTGAATTTAACATCACGACAACTTTGCAACAAAATTTCACTTGAGTTACAATCCGTTCAACTGGGGCTGTCATTCGAATAATTCATTATTTGAATATTCGACCTTCAATTTGATCAAATGTCCAGATATTCGGTCACACTGCAAACCATTTACGAAATCAGTATCAATAATGCACTCAATTGTACATTATCATCACTATAAGAGCTACTCACTTCAAGGACTATTTCCAGCCATGATTAAGCAAAATTGGAGAATACTTCTTGCCCTGTGGAAAGTTTCTATTTCTTTTAAATTTCTTTAATGAATCTACTTTTTGCATCGTAGGCCATATTATGCTGTTGCTTTTCATTTCAATATGCTGAAACCTCCATTGTGCAATTTTTCTTATTTAAAACAAGAAAATCCCTCTTTCCTTTTTATTAATTTTGCATTCGAATACTTGAGTAATTCAATGCAGTTCTATGTGGTCATGTCCAACAAACATCTGGCATGTGGTTGAGCATGTGTTGCCTGCAGTGTGGCTATTGGTTATGGATCCATCTATTATATGTCACGGTGGCTTATGTAAGATCTTACTCTCCCTCTCCTAATGGTTTTCCTTCAGAATGATAATTACAACTAACTACTGCATTGAGTATTAACACAATCACACACAGTGCCAACATGAAAGCAACAAAGCCCAATGAAAGCAACAACACAAAACAGAGGCTGCGGATTATTACACCACAGGCCAAATACTAAAGAGTTAGACATGCTCACAGATTCATCAGGACTGATAAAACAACCAGAGATGCAACAAGTTTCTTTTTCATCAGTAAAAGAATTAAATTTAATCACTTCTCTCACGTGATTCGGTTTACATCTATTTCTTTGCTCAAATGAACAATTTCTCACACATGTTCACACTCTGCACATTTGAGAAATTTGGCAATAAAGAAACCAATGGTGTCAAGATCGCAGTGGGTAGGAGAGGCCGACAGGTACGATGATACGGGATGAAACCGCTGCAGCTTACTTAGCTGGTCAACATCAAGGTTGGTGCCTTCCAAACCAACTCCACCAAGATGAGGAATCTATGAGGCAAGATCAGTAACCAATCCAACCAATGAATGTGCATGTAATTAAATGGTTCAGAAAGGACACTGATTCTGTCTACAAGAAAAGGGTTTCATGGGAATATCCCAAACCCTGCCGAAAATGACAAGTAGGAAAGAGGAGGCAGGGGGTATTTTTGGTAGAATTTTTTACACGCTCCGGGCCAGAATCTCATTTCATAAAACGCAGTGTAACTTTGAACCATGCAGAAAATTGGCACCACATATTTGTGCTGAAACTGTAAAATACACTTCTACCACAATAAACATATACTTATCCCATAACTTGTCACACTGTAAGTTGTTGCAAGTTACACCATAATTTGTTGCACAAGTCGTGAACTTACACAGTGCGTACTTTTCAAGAAATCACTCTTAGTTTGTTGTGAAATGTACACAAACAAATGTGTGGCATAAGTGCCTTTATGCCACTGCATAAAGTTTCATGAAATGGGCTGCTGAGCTTTCATTTTCCTTCTTTTCCTACAAAATCTGGACAGGGTGATCAGTCTATTTAGGGTACAGCAGACACAATAGTACTGTTAGGGGAGTCAGGTTGGTGTAGAGGGTCCTCGATTCTTGGCCCAGTGCACATGTGGATTGGGTTTTCAGTCCCTACCTGATTCCATGGGTTTTACCCAGAACTTTCCTCTGGGGTATTCCTGCCACCTCTAAAATTGTAACAGCTTCTCATTTTCTCAAATCTACTGGTTTCTTCAAGGTTTGTGAGCTTACATTGCCCAGTTTAGGAATCCTTGGTGTCATTACCAGAAATGATAATAATAACAAGGTAAACTCTTGTGCTTACTCAACTTGACCCATCCTACTAAGTCTGCCATACTTATCCCCCCATTAAAAAGAAGGAATGTACCCATCCCCAGGATCCATGCTCTTAATGTTATCTAACCAATTTTGCCTTGATTTTTTTCCAATCTTTGTACATATTAAAGCAAATCCTTTGGAAGTCACTGACCTGATGAGATAATTCAAGTTGAGGATATGCACTAAGGGCCCAATCCACCATTGCTTCATTTTCTGCCAGTGTGACTGTGCATGTGCTGTACACAAGTGTCCCTCCTGGTTTCAATAATTCAACAGCCTGATAAAGTTGGGAAAAAACATGGCAAAAGAATCTAAAAACCTGTTACTTGTCCCCATTAATGATGAAATACCAGACTGAAGAGAAATTTGCTGCTGAGAAAATCAAAGTCAAACATGAGTTCCCAATGTTATCTGCACTGAGCTTTATGTAGTACTCACAGTAACCACTGCTATTTTGAGCTTTACCCAAGTTACATTGCCCACGTTTAGTACAGCTTTGGACTCTATTAAAGATTTCTCCTCTGCTGCCAATGGCCAGGAGACAGCTAATAGACACTTAAGCCTTATTCATAAATACCTGAGACAGTCTCACTATTCACCAATGTGCAACTTGACCATTTATTAACATTTGTTAATGCCCGCTAAGATGTGAAAATGCCCGCTGTGTAAATCATGTGCTAGTACTTGAATACGAGACAGTTTACGACATCCCTGTAGGTCATGAGTCTGTGTATAAGGCAGCATGTAGGATGCGCCACGCGCACACAAAGTCCATGAACAAAGAGATTCTATTGGACAACTTGCAATAGGAATACACCATAAAATGGACGGGGGTGTTCGGGAAAATGAAGAAAAATTCTAGAACAAAATGCTTGGAAATCCATCATATATTGACTTCTTTTGACTGTCTGTCTAAGAAGGTATTTATGAATGGGAATAAATATGTTCTCGGCCAGCTAACATTTAAGACCTTGCTCTGGAGAACGAACGCTGATACTGCCCTTGCCTGTGGTTGGGGCAATTAGTTGCATCCATTCTCTTGAGCCGGTCTTAAATGCACATTTCAGACCAGCCAAGCACACATTTATTCCCTTAGTAAAAGAGTCAGGGGATAGTGCAGAATCCTCCTCACCCCCCACACAGTTTCCCTCACTTCTCATAATACTTTTCTTTGTAACAAGCCAATGGAAAGTAAATTTCTATGTGAATTTTTGCATGGACAATAATAAATTTGAATCGTTGAATCTTGAATACAGTCATGCTGAGCCTTGCAGAGTTTTTCCTAGTAATGCCTCACATCACTTGTACATACATTTTATGAAAATCAGACATACCATTTTTGTTAAACACACTTTTCCATGATAAGCTAACCAAAACAAAAATAAATACCTGCTTTTTCAACTGACATACTCAATGCACATTGGCAAACACATATGAGGATATGAACTATAAATGATCATATGACAACAAAAAATAGGGCATTGGGTAACCAAGATCAAGATCAAGACTGGGTAGACTCCCCCAACTCCTCTGAGATGGTCCAGGTAAAAAATACCCTTTTAGTAACAAACACCATAGACCAATGGCACCTGCTACATCGTATGACCTACAGTACAGTGGGTGTCAACCCCATACCAATGTGTGTTTTGCTGAGTGTTATTTACAAACAATAAAGCCAAGTTATGGTATAGTACCCAGCACAGCAGTAGTCTGAGTACAGTACCTAACATCAACTTAATTTTGGTAAATGACACTTATGAAACACTTCTGATGGATGCCATGTTTGTTCATATCTAATCCTCACTCTAGGTCACATGACGCAGTGGGCACAATCAGTCGATTGTTACTGTGCACTTGGTACTTAAATACATGTAGATGAAAATTCAATGGATTCATGCACATTTTTGGTTGTTCACAGCTTGGAACTACGTGCACATAGCAGTCAGAATGTGTCACACAAACTACATGCACAGATCTAATAAGTGGTCAGACATTCTGTCTACAAGATCTTCACAGAGTTTGAAGACAAAACCCAACACATGATACATGTACGTACAGTACTGAAGAACATACGCTGATAAGCAGGATAAGACTTGAGCTCACTGAGTTGTAGTTGGTTGCTTATCTGGGGCCGCTGCCCTAAGCCACTGCATGGTGCATCCAACAAAACACAATCAAATGTTCCAGGTGGGTACGGTGGGGCATTTACATCTAACGAGAAACGTGACAATAAACACTGACTGTCAGTGGTCAATGATTAAAAAGCCGCATCATTGATTTATACTTCAAAGCTCACAAGGTCTAGGAAATCTTGGCTATAGTATACCACATATCAAGTACATCTACAAACCATTCTATGGCAACAAGCCAGTCTGGTATTTCAAAGAGCTACACTGTGAGAATAAAGCATGTGCACACATATCTGCATGTGCACACATAATAAAGCATGTGCACACATATCTGGCATATGACTGTACCTATAGGGCAGACCCTTGCTCGCACACATATTGCTTTTCCAGACTGACCTTGAAGGGAAATTCATTTTGAGCGAGTGCTGTAGAAACACTGAACAAGCTCCTTCTTACCTGCATCATGCATAAGCATCTTCATATCTCTGCTGCATGCTTTCGTAGAATCATATGAGTAGGCATGTATACAGCTCAGCCCTAACCTCTTTGCATTTTCCTCAACTTTGCGGATTTTATTTGTTGATTTATCCAGGGCAATAACCACTCCTTGGTCCTTCATTAAAGTTGCCAAGTGTGTTGTCTTTCCCCCTGAAACAGTTAAATATTAAGCACAAACACCTGCACACTTGACTCTTGTTAACAGAAATGTTGCAGAGATTTGTATCACATGTATAAATGCACAATTCGGCCTCCTGGTATACGGGACACAGATGCACTATATTATTTTGTGTTCTGTGAGCATGAACGTGATAACAAATTTATCTCCAAACTTGACACGCACTAAAGATTTTATAAGGGCCTATGCACGCAAACACACCACCTTTGAAATTACAGTAAATTTTGCTGCTGTGCATTTTGCTTTTAGCGTAAAAGTAGCGAATTGCGTTGAGTTAGAATAGTGCATTACCCAGGGTTTGACATGAACTGTTCAAAAGAGTTATATGTATATATGTAACACTGTTTGTTGCCATGGATTGACCTATCAGAACTGAGAATTCAAGTTTGCCTCAAGATAAATACTCATATGGTGTCCACTGCAATTATTTAGAAGAAATGAGTTATTATAGTGCCATCCACAATATTGGAAGATCAATGCAACAATATTTGTTGAGCAGCTGTACAATGGAAATGTAACATACTGTTAATTTTACTAATAAGCATCTCAACAAATCCTAGATATGCCATGAACTTGTCATTAAAATGCTCCACATATAAAATATATCAATCACATGAACACTTACAAAGCCACAAGAAATTTCAATTACATACTGTAGTGTTGCAGGATGCATTACACAGTTAATTTGCTATTCACAAATACCTGGGACAGTTTTTCTAAGCCTATTGGTCGAAACGTGTCACATGACCGTTTATTAACAGTTTTTAATCCCTGCTGAGAAGTGATAATGCCTGCTGCGTTGATCATGTGCTGGCACATCAAAACAAAACAGTTTAATTAGGTCTGATTGGTCACGAGTCTGTATGTAAGATTTCTATTATGTTACTAAACTGAGCTAAAGGGACTGCACAATTCACAGCAGGAATATATGATCTGCGGTCACAATTTCATGCTTTTGCACTGAGTATGAACCAGCCTTTACAAAAGAAAATGTCGCACAGGCTTTCGTTAAATTAACTGCAGATGTGCACAGTGCGTACCTGGTGCAGCACACATGTCTAACACTCTGCTGCCTACAGCAGGACTGACCACATGACCCACTACAATGGAAGGTAGATTCTGTAAGAACAGTCTGTCAGTCAGAACGCCATTCAGCGATGGACAGTCGCAGATTGGCTCCGTCATCCTCACGGCAACTCCTCTAGGTTCACAGAATGATATCAATACAAAATGCAAGTGTATGACAGCTAGAGATTAAACAACAAAGGTTGGGCAACAAATTTATGACTATGAATTACTGAATACACAGAAATACCACATCTGGTATTACCATATCTCCTAGATACGACCAAGAGCCAAATTCTCAGTGGCCCATTCACTGCATGCCAGTATGCGCAAATGAGGCTCCACAAGTCAAATACGCAAACATATAGTAAGCTGTTCCCTGGCTACCCTGAGGAATAGATTACTACATGTAAAGTTGTAAATCTTATGAAGCTATCGTGAAATTGCTCTGACCGGGTGAAGAAGGCACACTCAAGCATCCTAGCTATACATAAACATGAAAACATAGTGGTATATGTTATTGTTGATCAGTGTTTTAAATAATAGATAATCACCCTACCTCCCATTGGTACTGGAAATTGACAAACTAGAACTAGTTTGTTATTTTTCAATACCTTGAGGAGCTCAAATGGACTATCCTACTAAAATAAATCATGTATATTTTTTCTCAGAAACAACTATCTCCTTGACATGAGTTATTCGAAGACCTATGGTGTAATTCAACCATCAGAATTAGAAACGGCCATTTATGCAGAAACACAACATTCATGGACAGGTGGTACATGTGTGCTGAATGCATCTCCAACCAATAGGGTGTCGTAATGTGCCAAATGCACGTGTGCGTCAAGCTGAAGAACATCCGTGTGAGTAAGGTGCCACCACAGTTATGTCATCTAATCTGATAAAGGCACCTTTCCATATGTACGTTATTGGGGTGCATTGCGCACACGATGCATTTGTGCATGTCACTTTCACGGACACAAATACAACACACATGTGTGTTGCATTTGGTTGTCAGAATTGCCTCGAGAGCAATTTTGATGGATATGCAATGCTTGGCGCAAGTGTTGACGCATATATGGAAAGGCGCTGTTAGTCTATACGTAGTAGTGTGCATTTACAGCATGTTTGGGAACCGGGTACCCCATTCCCCTGACAGGGACCCATAATTATTATTAAAATGATTAAAAAAACAAATTGTAGTCAAGTATTTCCACCACGTCCCCACCCACTACATGTAGCTGCAGGATTGAGCACTACACTGACATGCTCACTAGCATGCTCACTGGCATGCTCACGGGCATGCTCACGGGCATGCTCACTGGAATGCATACAGAAACTCAAAATGCATGGGATTACTTTGCAACTTAACTTTTTAAGTTTTCTCAGTTTCTAAGTTTGAAATAAAATTCAATAATATCTCATCAACTTAAACATCAGGTGGGAATGGCTTAAAAATCAAGTTATCCTAATTCAAGCTATCAACACCAAATGTATACATTGTTTTTGCATTTTTTGTCTTTTCTTTGTAAATACTAATGGTGTATAATTTTGCTCATTAACTTTTTTCATGATCTTTTTTTTCTGAGAGTTTATGTTGTCGCTACCTAAAGCTTCTTTCCTTTTGATAAAAAGCAATAAACCAATTGATTAAATGTTGCACCTTTTGAGGGCAAAACTTTCATGTCGTTTGGTTTATCATTGTAACAGCGTGACGAGCAGTGCATTGCCAGGGCTTCTTTTCACTTCAGCTTTCTTAGTATGTGCAATCACATGACCTTTCCTTCTGCAGTCACTTGGCTGCCACAGAGTCAGCAATTGGACTGCCTTTACTGGCTACAACTGGGTCTACGGTTGCAATCAGGCTAACTTAAAAGCCAGGGTTGGTTGCCGTTACTTTTGGTTTGGTTTAAATGCAGCATGCATATGCATGATCCTGGTGTGACTGAAATGTGCCAGGTAAAGCCAGCTGGCCAACAGTTGCACGATTGAGCCTAGACTATACATGTAATTGCACTGT